AAGGAGGGTAGGTACTCGGAGGAGGGCTTTCTCTGCGGTGGCGCCCAATCTATGGAATGCGCTCCCCAGAGAGGTCCGCCTGGCGCTGTCATTATTTGTTTTTTGGCGCCAGGCGAAGACCTTTTTATTTAAGCGTCATTTTAATTGTTAATATTATGCTTATTTTATCTGGCCAGGGCGACTTATTTTATATTGTTATCTTTTGTATTTTAACTTTATGTTGTGAGCCGCCCCGAGGCTTCGGCGAATGGGGCGGCATAGAAATTTTTTAATAAATAAATAAATAAATAAATAAGGTAAGCAGCAGATTATGTCCTCTTAGCCAGCAACTTCAGGAGCAGTTCCCACTGTACTCGGGTAACACATTGCCATTTAAAGTCTACTCTTTATTCTTGAAATTGCATCTGCAGCTGTGAATTGGCATATGCATCTTTTATGCAAGTCTGTCCTTCCTTATGCCCTTTTTGGGGCAATGCAGGAGTGATCTTCCAGCCTTCAGCCACTTTGCCTACAACACCAGTGTGTTGTAGCCAGTGTGGTGTGGTGGTTAAGAGCACGGGACTGGGACTCAGACAATGTGGGTTCTAGTCCCTGCTCAGCCATGAAGCCAACTGGGTGACTTTGGGCCAGTCAGACTCTCAGCCCAAGCTACCTCACAGGGTCGTTGTTGTGGGGATAAGATGGAGGAGGAGAATGATGTAATCTGCCTTGAGTCCTTTGTCGGAAAAAGGCAGGATGTAAATCAGAAAATAAATAAATAACACCAGCACTCCGCACAGCGTCTGCACAGGATACCGGCCCTGATGTGCCAACAGTGGCCACACAACCCACTTTGAACCAAACACCAGGTATGGATAATGTCTCTACCCTCAGAGTCCCACAGCTCCTTCACTCACAGCGTGTCACACATGACGTCCCATTAGTCGGAGCGTTGTGGCAGTCGGCTATAAGGCATCACTGCAAGGAGGAGAGGGGCCTGAGGTTCAGTGGCTGAGAACTGCCTTCAGCAGGCAACAGAGGTATCCAGAGCTGGTTCTCCAGCACCAGCAAGGGTAAGCCAGTGCAGCTGTTCAGCTAATACAGAGAAGGAACCCAGATTAGAGGGGATCTTAGAAGTTCCTCAAGGACAGGCTGGGTGCATTTTTGCATCAGATTTTGTTTGGGGGAAGCTTTTCTGATGCTCCTGAAGAGAAAGGGGAGGAATGCCCACAGATGGGATGTTTTCTAGCCTAGAAATATTTCTGTGATTCTCACTTCAGGAGATGTCCCCTCGACCCCAAGGCCAGTGTTCTCCAGCACCACCCAGACGCTTCCTGGCTCTACGGTTACAAAGGGACGTTTCACTTCCATTACAATCTCGACACCAACAGCTTTGCAACCTGGCACCACCTACACCACCAAAGCCCGCCCTGAATTCACTCAGCACCATGGATCGATGACCTCCACCTACAGCCCTTCCCAATCTGCGGTCGCCTACACCACCAGCACCCACCCAAAATTCATGGTGACCTCTGGGTCAACAACCCCCACGCCCATCACCTTGACCAGCACAGATCCTCAGAACACCACACCCTCGCCTGCCAGCTCTGGCATTGCAAAGCGGTCAGATGATGATACCCCAGAGTCAGAGGAAGGTACCCCTCCTCCAGTCTTAACATAATTACTGCATCCTAAGTAATTGTTGGTTTGCTGCCCTTTACTGACCAAACTGTGGGGTGGATCACACAAGAGGGCCCCCTGCATAGAACTCAAGTGCCAAGCAGGCATATATGGGTATAGGTGCTCCTTAAGTTAACTGGGGTCTAAGCCGTTTAAGACTTTGTATGTCAATACAAACACCCTGAATTGGGCCCGGGGCCACAAGCCATAACCAAGTTAGATTTTTCAGAATAGGTGATATGTGGGCTGCTCAGGGAGTTCGTATTACTAACTGAGCGGCCCTATTCTGTACCAATTGCAATTGCCGGACCATCTTCATGGGCAGCCCCACATAGAGTGCATTGCAGTAATTAATACATCTTGATATTAACAACATCTCTCTTGCATAGGTTTATCTCCTCTCTGGCTGGCAATTGGATTTGGCAGTGGAGGAACCCTCTTACTCCTGGCTTTTCTTGTCTGCATTTATAGGCGGAAGCACAAAGGTGATTGGGGGAAGCTGGGCATGTGGGAGGCATATCCCAGGTTTTCTGGACCATGCTGTAGATGCAGAACATCTCAGCCAAGGTTATCAGTCATTTACAAAGCACTTTTGTAATCTATGATCTTTTTATTCTGGCTTCATCCTCTTGCCTTTAGCAACACTCATGCATAACAGCACATACATTAACTGGGGGTGTTTTTCCCACCAGCCTTCCTCCATAGCATAAAAGGCTTCATTCACCTAATCCCGGTATATCAAACTGCTGCTAAAAGCAAGTGAGCAGCGTTTTTAAATGGTAGCTACTTCCCTATCAGTAGTGCTGCCAGCGTTGTTTTGTCAGGGCAGAGCTCTTGTACCATCCCAATGACTGCACTGCCCTCAATGTAGGGCTGCTCAACGCAGCACTCAGGAACTTCCATTGGTCCCAAATACCCCGAGACTAGTTTGTTTGTGGCTTGAACAGTTAAAATCCATAGCTCCTTAAGGACTGGTAACATGCCCTCTAAGTCACAGGAGTCTGTAGCCAAGCTGCCAAGTCAGGTACTTAGAAGACTGCCTGCTCCAATAGGGCAGTTGGCCCAGCCATTCAGACCCCCTTCAGAGACCCTGCTCAGAGGATCCGCACCTTCTGAGATGCAGTGGCAGAGCGGAAACAGAGTATGGTGCCTGTTTTCCCCCCAGCCTGCTGCCCTGCTATACTGACAGAACAGAGGAATCATAGAATCAAACAGATGGAAGAGGCCTGGCAGGCCATCAGGTCCGCTCTGCTCAATGCAGAGCTCAAGTCTCCCATCCAGAGTCTAACCAGGCCTGACTCTGCTTAGCTTCCAAGTTTATGCTGGATCAGGTACTTCAGGCTGTTATGAGCCTAAAATGAGTGGAGATGCCGGGGATTGAACCCGGGGCCTCATACATGCAAAGCATGCGCTCTACCACTGAGCTGCATCCCCCCTGCCTTTCCCACTTTAGCTCTAGCCCCTTTAGCCTTCAGCTCTTCCATAACCCACTTAAAAATGTTTGCTTTCTGCTGCTCTGCATCAAGGGAGCAACTGCTGCATGCAGGGCAGGACTGAGCAAGGTGACTCGCCTGAGGAGTGTGGCCAGCAGCATCCATTCCTAGGAACTGCACCTCTCAATTTCTTCTCCATTTAGCTCAGAAGAGGGCTTCCCCAATGCGCTGCTGACCAGCAGAAGCCCAGAGGGGAATGTGTGTATGTCTGAGCGCATGAGTGCCATTGTGTGAGCATTCATTAAGCACCTCTTGCAGTGCAGGAACGTGATGGTGCAGTTGAGGTCACATCAGCCTTGGCCCCAGGTTTAGGCCACAGTTCAGGGACTCTGCTCTTACCTACTGTTGGGCAGCACTTTATCGTTTCTTGTTAGTATTGCTCCTTCATCTGTGAGGTGAATCGACTGCATTTGCACTTTTATCATTCAGCCAGAAGCCTCACGAACCCCAGTGTGCAAGGCAAGCTGGAAATACTTCAATCCTTCAGTGCGCGTGTGTGCTTAGAAGCGCCACCACATGTCTTGCATACTGTGCCGCTTCTCATGGCGCAAGGGACCTTCTGGGGTGGGCAGCGTTGTCATGGGGGAAGGAGCCCTTGCTGGGGTGGGAGCTCGAGCCTGACCATTCCTCTAAATGTAGAATTCTTGGTTCCCCAAGCGGAGACCAAGACGCAAAGAGAGGGGAGCCGGTGTGGTGTGGTGGGTGGCATGATGGGCTGGGTTGTCATCCCCACTTGGCCATGGAGCCGAGGGAAAGACTTTGGGCCAGTCGCTGACTCTCAGTCTAGCCTACCTCATCGGGCTGCTGGGGCCATAAAAATGGCAAGGAGCAGGAGCATGTACACCTCCTCACAAGAAAAGGCAGGACAGAGATGGAAAAAATAAACAAAGCCTTCTCTTCACCACACTCTTTTTCTTCTTTTCTTTGCAGATAACAGACAGAACTCAAGCAGGTGAATGAGGATAAGACCATGGACTTGTTTCCTTTGCATGTGGGTTCTCTGAACCCACTCAATATTTAGATGCCTTTTTTAAAATGCAGGGACAAAAGGGATAAAAACGAAAAGGTCACCACATACGTGCACACAGGATACTGTCCTGAGGCCGGTGCAAAGATAGCTCCTACCTGGGGAAAGCCAACACTAGCAGATATGTTTCAGCAAACTCCTGAAGCCCCTCAGTGCTGAGCCTGGACATACTTCAGAGCAGAGGTCCTTGTGCCAGGTGGGCACCACTGCCAAGACAGCCCAGCTCCTTGTCGTCACCACACGGAACTCCACAGCCCATGGCACAGACAGCAGGGCTACAGCTGCTATCGCATCTCGTGGGGATGCGCTTGATCAATCAAGCAACAGGTCATGTGAAGAATTCCTTTCTCTTGGCTGAGCCCCTTCCCCACAAGAGTCAAGGTCCGGCAAGCAGCCATTCCAGGGAGGATTACACTTTCCTTCCCAGGCAGGATGCCTAGATGTATCAGGCAGGTAGTCATCCAGCTGGTATAGATGGCTCATTAATGCATAGGGGAGAGAGGAAAGCTTAACCTGTTTAACTTAGCACGAGCACTTCTCCAAGTTGTGCAATGAAGTTCTCTGACCAAAAACCAAAAACTGCATGCAAAAATGCTCCTCACAGGAAAAATTCTATTTGGGAATACATTTCATCCTTCTTTATTTCTTGCAACAAATGTGAGCATCGAGGCATGTGGAAATGCATGTATTTGGAGAAATGTGCACAAACACGCTTTAAAAAAAATATCTCTATATATATCTATATATAGATATATATATATAGACTTTTCCATCCTTGCCTACCACTACATTCTGACCACTTCCCAATTTCTTTGTTTCTAAGAAAGACATTACGGGACAAGCTGGCCATGCTAGAATCATTATTTCCTTCTGCTATTTTTCAGTGCTAACTTCTTCCTTACCAAATTCCTTTCCAGGAAGTACTGGAGGACACTGAATCCTCAAATGTCGCTGCGGATGAGTCGGTACGGAGCCTTGAACGTGCCTCTTCTGCATATCCTTTGCATATTCCATCCATACCTCCATAGGAGAAGGAAATAGGACCTATTGCCCCCCACCCACCCCCACAGCACAGCAGTCCTTATTCCTTGGTCTGCCATCCAGGACTCCCAGCAGCCAAAGCAGATTCAGACATGCTCCTTGAACTGGGTTCCCTCCCATCTGTTTCCCACTGGCCCTGTCCTACTCATAGAAGAACATGCCTCACCTGTTGAACATCTGCAGGCCAGGCTGCTCTTGAAGGCAGGGCCAGCTAAAAAGGGCTGGCAGCTCTGAGGCCGGTGCCCCTTCACAATCACTGCCCAGTGATGTGGCTGGGGCTGGACCATGGCGCTCAGTCCAGGGCCCCACTGCCCATGGAGCAGACCAATCGCCAGCCCAAGAGGGGGGCCTGGTGAGGGCGGCAGGGGAACTCGCCTGTTATTCAAGTCCCCATGACATGCTGTGATCTGAGCACAGCTGAGGCACGCAATTCTCTTCCAAGAGGAGCTGCGACGGCCACCGGTCCGGAGCATTTGACAAGGGGGTTGGACCAATTCTTGGCTGAGGAAGCTCTCAGCAGCTGCTGGCCTCTGCATGAGCGTCAAGATCAGAGGCAGCATGCCCATCGCTGGGGAACGGGGCTGTGGGAGAGCTGTGAGTGCTATCCACTGTGTGAACCAGACTAGACAGACCTTTGTCTGACCCGACAGGGCTCTTGTGCTCCTACCGTGAGTCAAGCATGCGAAACTGCACACAAAGTATTTCTGTTTGTCTCAAATCATGGTTGGCAAAACAGCTTTGGCTTCCGTATTGCTCTGACATATCAGGAGTCTCAAAGCCATTGCAAAGCATGGAACAATTCTTTTTTTGTGTGTGTGGTGTGGGGGAGCCCCATGTTAGAGGGGAATGGATCTTCATGGCCATCTAACAGGAGCCACGTGAGACCATGTGGGCATGCTGGGAGTTGGGGCCTTTTTTCTCTCTGAACAGGGTTGTGCCTTAAACCCTAAAGCATTGAAATTATCCGGCTGCACGGCTGTATCTCCCACTGTCCCAGAGTCCCTACACTGCTAACATGATCGTTCCTCTTTCAGATGCATTGCGGACCCCATGAGAAACTCCATCAGTAAGTGAAAAGTTGGGAGGGGTCCCGAGGAGGGTTACCATTTCTCCTCTTTGCCATCGCTTAGCACTCTGCCATTTAAAATGATTTAACTGCTTTCACTCTAGTAGCCCAACATGCAACAGGGAGGGGTAAGCAAAGGCTGGGTTCCCAAGGATGCCCCCCCCCCCCCGCCGCATCTCAAAAAAGCGTTCTGCTTTGTACAAGGGAGCCCCGCCACCTGCTGGCCAGCCAAAGATTTGCGGCTAAAGGAAAGCCCCGCTGGCTAGGAAGGTCTTGAAAGGAAACACAGTACGCCAGTGACGCTTCCCAAGGTTGTTCCGCCATTAGGTCCCCAAGGACAGAACTGGCCCATGCAGCTGCAGCCAGCGAGCCGAGACTGGGGCATTCTTCCCAAGGCCAAACCCCCAGTGGCAAAACACGGGGCTGCATCACGGAAGAGGCACAGAAACGACAGCCTCAGCTCCGGAGCAGACCACATGTTCCCTGTAAGTTTCAAGTTCAAAGTGTACACGACCGCAGCGGATTTCTAACCCCAGCTTCTAGCTGCGTCTCTGTTGCCTTCCTTTCTTTTTCCCCTCCAGGATATCGATCCAACTTACACACTCCTTGGGATGTCCTGCTCAACGTTCTTCCAGGAAGAAGACAAGGGCCTCTCGAAGAAGGAGCACGTCTATTCAGAGTTTTCTGTTTAGTCTACTCATCTCTGCCCACAATCAAAAATCCTTCCCGTACCCTGTACAACCTCCTCTATACCCTGAAGCATCCATGGCCAGCAGCTGCCCTGCCTCTGCTTGAAGACCTCCACAAACGGAGAGCCTCATGTCTCCCTGGGCAGCTGCTGCCACTGCTGTGACCACTAGGATGCTCTTCCAGATGTTCCAGAAGCCTGGGCCTCCATAAACTGAATGTGCTGTGAAGTGGGAAGAGGGGATCAGAAGAAACACATGCAGCGTGTGTGCATGCATGTATGCCACCAATGCTTGCATGTGCTGCCCCTGGCACCGCCCTTTGTCCCAAAAGCTTTGTGCAGCTCTTCCCTACAGACACAAGACGGCATCTTCCACTGGAAGACTCCCCAGCGCAAGACGGACTAAAAAAAAAAAAAAATTCAAAGTTTTTCCCCCCTCTCACCATATAGAACTCCACAGGGTCACCGCACAAAGCTGATGGGCGGGAGGTCCAGGAGAGAGGAGAGGAAGGCCTTCTTCATGCAGTGCCATCAAGCCATGAAATTCCCCTGCCAAAATGTAGTGGGGGTGGCGCCAGTCTGGATGGCTTCAGAAGGGGGTTGGGCAAATTCATATCAGTCGCTACGAGCCCCGACGGCCGTGGCTACTCCAGTCTCAGAGGCACTGTGTGCTTAAGTTGCTGGGGAACATGGGCAGGAAGGTGCCGTGCCAGTCACGTCCCATTTGCGGGTTGCCCCTGGGAATCGGGTCGGCCACTCTGTGCACAGCATGCTGGACTAGATGGATTCCAGCAGGGCATTCCCTACGTTCTTCTAGATGGATCTTCCAAGCAGGGATCCCTGTTTGGAAATGTGTATTACCAGAAAAATTCCACTGCTGAGGATTGCCCCATCGCTGTAACTCCGTGGTGGGAGCAGCTTTATAGAAGGAAAAATACAGCAATGGTCAGCTGTGAAATAACCAGATTTAACAGCAGATAAGACACCCGTCTTCCTGGCTTTGGTCTGCTCAAGTAATTAAAAGATGTTTTTCCTATCTGACTGTAAACTGTATATTGAAATAAAAGGAAAAAGGAAAGCTTGCTGGGTTATTTTTTTTAGAGACCACTTACACAGATGCACATTCCCAAGTGCTTGGATTTCTTGCTGCAGGGTATTCTCTAGCCCCCCTTTTTTAAAAAGCATCTTTTTCAGTTTCTCCACTTCCAAATATACAGACTTGTATTCTGTTTTGTTTCTTTATGAATACATGATATGGGTTGGTACATGTCACGCAACGAGAATGACCATTCAGGAACATAACTAGTTCTTGATTCCATAGAGCTATATTGAGTCAAAAGCTCATTTCATCTAGAAGGCCCACCTTTCTAGAACACGTTCCTAACTGAGGCTCACCTAGTACCAGTTCTACCATTCTTTTGGTGCCAGATTAATATTGCCCCTACACCAAGGCATTTACCTTTAAACAATACATGGGAGCATTTTGTCAGCTGTGGTTAAGAGCATGAAACTGGTACTCAGAAGGTCTGGATTCTAGTCTCCACTCAGGCATGGAGGTCTCACTGGGTGACTTTGAGCCAGCCATAGACTCTCATCCCAACCTACCTCACAGAGTTGTTGTTGTGAGGATAAGATGGAGACAATTAGGGAAGGCAGCCTGAGTTCCTTGAAAGGAGAAAAGACAAGATATAAGACATAAATCTAGCCCAGTACGGTCAGCACAGACTGGCAGCAAAGCTCCTCCAGGACCTCAGGCAGGTCTTCCAGTCCTACCCGGAGGTCTTGAGCACTTTCTTGCAGGGGTACTGCCACTGACCCCCTGCAGCCCTTCAGCACATGGATCCACATTTCCCCAGGTCCAGGGGAAGGTTCCCATCGACAGCTATGAGCTGGAGGATCACTGATCAGACAGGAGAAACTGCCTTGATGGGAAAATGCCCTACCAGGTTCACTCGTTGCCTCTATTTACATGCAGCACCAAGTGTTTTGTTCCGGCAGATTTTTTGTTTACTCCGCTAAATGGTAGATATTAACCCTGGCTGAAGACTGCCTTGAACGCTCCTGCTGCACTGCTTTTCGCTCTACTGCTATTGTGCCATTTTAATACTCATCTCAAATGTGTTTACATTTGAAGCATTCTCTGTTTTTCCTTAGCTTTCTAGCAATAAGGCTATTAAAAACAGCCTAGAACACAAAAGACACAAACTAAGGGACGAGCTTCTCGAGAACTCGCAGTACATAAGCAGCCGAAGTGCTCTAGACCGGAAGTGCCGCTGACACCCCCTGTGTTACCCGCAGCGTTATCAGACCTGCCTCCAATCGCTCACCTTGGAATTTGCTCCCTTCCCCGGCCACCTCAACTCCTTGCACATGAGCTGCACGGTCCAGAGTCCAGGTAGGCAAAGCCGTCCGGTTGCCCCTTTCCAACTGAGCTAGCGGAACCGAGCAAGGAAGGAAGGAAGGAGACGCCTCTTCCGTGTAGAAGCCCACCGCCTCTCCCCCAACACCATGGAGTACGTGAATGCGCTGGCACCATCCACGTTGCTGAAGTGAGTACCGGGGGTCACAGAGGTGGGGTTGGAGAGGGAGAAGGGGCACTGGGGGCTGGCTAGAGGCTTCTGCGTACCTCCTGGCCAAGAGGTACCACCTACCTGTCTTTCCCACTCCCTGGCAGTCCTTGGACAAAACCCCCATGCCTTCTCTTCCCCATTACCACCACTCCTTCTAATATCAAACTCAGTTAGCAAATGCCCACAGGATTACCGCAATATGGAGATGCCAGGAAACAAGAGAGGATCACAGCATGCTTGGAAAGCTAAGGATTTTTCTTTAGAAGTATTTTGGAAAGGGAAGATTCAAGGGACAGAAGTCCCTAAAAATCTTTCCATGGGCGACAGAATGCCAGCTAGTTTTGTGGTGCAAATGGGGGGTGGGGGGCTAAGAGGAAGGAAGAGCAGCAGCAGGATGGAATGGAGCACCTTAGGAAAAGGACTGGCTGGCATCCTGCACCGAAGTGCTAGACACTGCAACATTTTGTCGCAGAAGCCACTGGTGTGCATTCACACTTTCGGTGTCCACAGAACAAGAGAAACCCACTCTCAGGTCCCAACTCACAGCCATTTCACTCATGACTCAAGTCTGTGAAAGGTGGCGGCGGGGGCACAATGACCTCATGCTGAGCCTGAGTCAGAGGAACGATCGAACGATGGATCGCTTTCATCAGCGGGGACCAGCACCCTCACCTTCACGCTGCCCCACCCCTCCCACGTCCATCCTCCATCCTTCTGTCACCTCCTTTCTGGTGGAAAGAGCCTGGAACCTGGACTCTGGCATCAGCTGCCAGCGACCAGGAGCACCTCCACCCGCCGCTTTGCGGAGAGCAATTATTAGCCACTGTAGAAGCCCGTCCCGGCGCATAAGCAGAGTACAAGTGCTCTGGACAGAGCGTGTGCTAGTTCCCGGAGTGGGACACTAGCTGCTTTTGCACAGTGCCGCCGTGCGCTCTGGGATCCACAGCGCGATCTCGCTTTGTCCCGCAGGTCTGTCTCTAGTGCAGGCTCGGAACTCACCCGGCGAGTCTGGGCTCCAAGCCCCCCACCCCAGCGGCCCTTCCGAGTCTGCGACCACAAGCGCAACGTCCGCAAGGGGCTGACGGCAGGGACCCTGAAGGAGCTGCTAGTCAAGGTGAGCATTCTCCCCCCCACACACACACCACGAGAGCATCGGTTGTCGCACCAGCAAATTGGGAACAGTGGCCTAAATCAAAGCATCTTGATGAGAGGAGCACAAGCAGTGGGGTTTGCTGGCCTTTGCAAATTATGGAGAAGGGGGCTATGCTACAAGTCCACAGGAGCACAAGAAACAGCACTAGAAAACTCCCGTTTCTTCAGTGCCACCACTGCTTCCACTGCAAACAAAAACAAGTTTCTAGCCCTTATGAATGCAAAGTTACTCTTGAAAGTATGCGAGTAGTCTTAGGAGGGAAAAAGGCACACAAGATATCCAGACAGCTAAATAGGCCTACCTGTTCATGACTAGCTAAGTAAGAATTAGTAATAATAGCAGAGTTGTCTATTCACTATGGCTTACAGATTCAAGCATGCTTCTGTTGCATTATCTTAGTTGATTTTTTCTCTTTCCCGCCTCCATGAACTTGTCCAGTCCCCCTTGAAGCCATCAAGAGCCAGCAGGCAATGTGTATTGCAGGAGAGTGACCACAGAAGGGGGCTAGTCTTTGAGTAGTCTTACATGTTCTACCATGTAGAACATTGCTCCGATCTTACAAAAGATCAGATGAATGCGGAAACTGCTCTATTTTCAAGAACTCAGCTGTTTAGGGTGCATAATTCTCCCCTCGGTGGAGAATTTAGGGCATGGACTCTCAAGTCCCTTAGCAGACAAAGACACAAAACATAGGCAGCAACAGCGGTGCCCTCGCCCCCAAAGCCCCCAACTGTTCCTTTCCTTCTTATCCAGGCAAAGGAGACACTGCTCATCTCCGGTGTCATTTCCTTGGTTCTGGAGGAAGACGGCACCTCTGTGGAGACCCAGGAGTTCTTCGAAGTTCTTGACGACAACACGACCCTGATGGCACTTGAGAAAGGCCAGAAGTGGAGCCACGGAAAGGTGAGGAGGCAGGGTGGAAAACAGCACCGAGATCCCTTGCATCCAAACGGCTGGGTAGACAAGGCTGCTGGATGAAACATCATGAGCTGCCTTATATGTTGGCCCACTGGCCCATGGAATACACTGTTGTCTTCAGATGGAGTGGAGACTTTCTCTTCCCTACAAGAAGCTATTTAAGCACAGGGAAAGTCCACTGGGAAGGGCAGCAGATGGTGGGTGTTCCCAGGCCAAAACATGGCGAACTACCTGGGCATGCAGTAATTGAACCCAGGACTTCCTACATGCAAGGCAGCTGCTCTGCTGCAGCCCTAAACACACCCACAAAACAGGACCGGGAAAACTTGTCTCCCTCCAGATGTTTTTGCCTATGACTCCCTTCATCCCTCACATCCGATGAGTTATGGGCCAAAACATCTGGAACTTTGCCCTAAAGGAAGGAGCCACCCACAGAATGGCACACCAAGGTTAAGTGGATGGGGCTGAAGGATTTACAGGCAGATCCACACGACCCGGGTGGATCAGTCAACACGAACAGGGAGCCTCCTTGGGCAACTGATCGGAGGCCAACCAGGAAGTACAAAAGGGAAGACAGAGGGTGCGTGGCAGACGAAAGCCCCCCGGCCACTCAAGTGCCGTAGGGCATCCGCACTCCTCTGTGTCACCCGGTTCTTGCAGGGTTGTACAAGTCGGCGGGGCGCTGGAGGGCACTGCAGATCTGAACATAAAATGAACATCTCCATCGTCTGATGCCAGATGCATCCCCACCCTGGCCTCCTCTCCAACCTCCATGTTTTTTGTTCTTTCTCCTGCACACTATTTTCAATAAACTGTTGCAAAAGGGCAGGATGGAAAAACAAAGCCTCAGGGGGGATTTGAATTTTTTAAAAACCACGCAAACCCTAAAATGCAATTAAAAGCAGCCACAATGAAAGCAAGCATTGAAAGCCAAAGCAAAATGGCAATTTTAGAAGAACCTCTAATGCCATTCAAAGCCCATGAAGAGCAGAGAGACTGTGCAGCACCGGAAGGATGACAAGGGACCTCTTCAGGCACGGCAGACAAGCAGGGCTGGCAGAGGGACGGGCAGAGAACTCCACAGTGAACTGGCTTTTCCCAAGAGGCAGCGATTCTGCAGACTGGCAGGCTTTAGAAAAATTATGCATCTTTATGCAAACGTTCATTAGAAATACATGGAACTGAAACTCATACATAAAACGCACATTTTCCCCCGCAAGCTAAAGCATGGAAGTACACCGAGACCGCATTTTTGCAAGAGCAAATTTGTGCCTTTGTCCATCTGCAGGGCAGCAGCCGCGCATTCGCGCTCAGTCGCGAGAAGCCCCGGAACAGCCGCGACATCGCCCGCATCACGTTCGACGTGTACAAGCTCAACCCCCGAGACCTCTTCGGCAGCCTCAACGTGTCCGCGACCTTCTATGGCCTCTACTCCATGAGCTGCGATTTCAAGTGCCTGGGACCCAAGAAGGTGCTGAGGTAAGCTGGCCCCTCTGCACCCCAAGGAGAAGAGGCAGGAGGAAGGGGGCAGGGAAGAGACACCTGCGGAAAAGCATCTGTCTCCCCAAACGCCACACGGGTGCTGTTTTGCCCAGCTCTACCCGGCCTGCACAGCATTCCCACTCAGCTGTCCAGGCCTCCAGGATCCGGCCCCCACCCACTGCACCATCCTTCCCAGGAAGCACAGCTCCCAGTCCCCGACGGTGGGAAGTCGAAACAAGGTCTCTTTAGTCGCAGCCGCCCCCAGCAGCCTGTGGCCCTTTCTCCCACTAGGCTCAGCTCCAGGTTAAAACTGGCCGGTTGTCCTATCCCCACCTCAGTATAGGTGGGTTCAAGCAGCCTTCTGCTGACTGATGCCCTCTGGATTTATTTATGCTACATACGAGGGCTGTTGCACAATAAAATATATGCGCAGTGGCTGGTTGGGAATGATGGGAGTTATAGTCCAAAACATCTGGAGGGCTTCAGGCTAGAGGAGGATGGTTTATATCAAACCTGATCTCACTGCTGGGTTTACTGCTCATTTGGCAGAATTCCGGGGGAGCTTCTATTTGGCTGACTTAACACTCCTCGACGGGCCCTTTGGAGAGAAGTGACTCAGAGCACTAGTGTAAGCCAAGGGTGGCCTTCCAGGTGTGAACTACAACTCCCATCAGCCCTAGCCAGCACAGCCAATGGTGAGCAGCGATGGGAGCTGTAGTCCAAGAACAGCAGGAAGGCGGCACACTCCTCACCTCCGAAACCAACGAACCGTTCTCTCTCTCTCTCCTTGGCACAAGGGAGGTCCTGCGAGTGGCGTCCGCCGTCATGCAGGGCATCGGGCACATCCTCCTGGGAGCGTCCCACTACATCCACCGCCTTCTGGAGGGCGGGGACAACTGGCACCCACACGCCCGGCTGAGAACCTATGAAGGGTGATGCCACCCCCGCCCGAAGGACCGCGGCAGAGAGCTTCCCGCCCGCGTCCAGCGCTGCGCAAATCTCAGGGCTGTAGCTTGACTGGGGACGCTGATTAAAAACAGAATTTGCACACAAACCAACGGGGAGGGCCTTGGGGGAGGGGTCCCTCCCTGCCACCCCCTCAGAGCGAGGGGATGCCGAGGAGGCTGATCCCGGGCTGGCAGGGGTGGGCTTGGCCGTCTGATGGGCCCTTCTTGCAAGAGGAAAGCCGCTGGAACAGTGAGCTGGGTTGTGGGCCTAATTCAGTGCCACCTATCACGACCACCAGCAAGTCCCTATGGTTGGCGGATAGCTGGGGTAGGTGGGAGGCCCGCCCGGTCCAGCACACGGTTCCCCAGAGCATCCCAAAGCGTCTCTGGCAACCCTGATAGAATGCAGATGCCAGGCTGGCCCTTCTGCCTGCAGGAAATTGCTGGGCTACCGGAGCTCCCCTCCTGTCTGCGGACGCAATGGCTCTGCCTGGCCCTCCATTTCCCGAGTACCAAGAGTACGACAGCAAGGCCCGTGGCCCAGTGACTGGGTCCAGCCAAGATAATCCACCCCCGAGGGCTGAGTATGGGCTCTCACTAAACCATGGGTTGTTGAAACATGCGTTACCGGGCGGCCTGAACCCTGCCCCTCGCCCCTCACAGCACCCATGGCTTCCCTTTGTGTGTCGCCCGTGGTTCAGAAGCCAGCTCGATCCGGGCACCGTTCAACAGCCACTCATGTTGCCCGCGGGTTGCCATGTTTTGCGAACCCGGTCCCCCTCGTCTTCATCTCTCAGGCAGGTCACTGAGCCCCCTCAGGTAGCCCAGAGGCACCGGCGGGGTCAGCCTGGCATCCTCAGGCGGCCCAGCTGGAATCGCCTCCAGTCCCGCTATCAAGAGATCCGTTCAACAAGAAATGGGAAATGAACTATCCCCCCAGTATTTGGCCGACAGCTCCCCTGATCCCTCAACACTGGCTAGGCTGCCTTGGGCTGTCGGGAGCTGCAGGTCCAGACACCCCAAGGGAGCCAAGCTGCCCAGCCCCGCTTCCACTGGGAATGAGAACAGAATCTGGGGCTTTGCAGAGGCAGAGCCTGACCATCCTGAAAGGCGCTGTGCTCAACCAACCTCCCAGATGCCACGCTGAAGTACAACAGCAACTTCCCCACCCCTGTCGCCACGTTTCATTAAAAATATTGCACACACGTGACAAGGAAGGCGTCTTAATGAAGCAGGTCAACCAAGGACTGCTCTGAAGGAACCGTCGCACGACACGTGCAAAGAAACGCGTCTCTTCTATTCTTCCATCTGCCAAGACTACATCCATCTGGAGCAGCAGGAGCAGAAGGGGGGCCCGCTGCACCCCACGTGCGCCGCTTCCCTGGGCAGGAACAGTCTTAGGGCGCATGGGCCGGGCACAGGCATCCACCCCCTGCTCTCACCCCTCAGCAACACGCTGCAGTCGCAGGGCGTACGTCCCCCTCCTGGGTCAGTCCAAGAGCTCGGCAAAAAGCTCCCGCCGCTTCTTCTCCGCCTCCTGGTGCCGGTCCCAGTCCCGCCGGCGGCTGAGGAAGTGGGTCAGGGCAAAGTTCCGGACCAGGTGATGCCCGAAGGGGTCGTGCCGCAGCCGAGGCTCCTGTGCCGCTGGATGGGGGAGGGGGAGCAGAGGCGGGTTAAAGGCAAGGGCAGGAACGAAGGAGGGGCCCAGCCAGGGTGGGGGCGGGGGCGGCGGCGCTTTCCTGGGAGCCATCACAGGAAGCAGCTGGAGAGAAAGGCCCTCTCTGCCTCCTCTCCCATCCCAGGGAAGCTTCCAGGGGACCACATTCTGGTGGCGGGCGGGCCCTAAGGCAAAAGAGGCGGAGCCCACAATGCCAGCCCATCCTATGTCACAGCCCTCACTGCCAGCCACCAGGCAGTCCGGCCTCTTGAACCGAGGCGGAGGAGGCACTTCTCCGGACGCTTCCGCTTGAGCGCCCGGAAGCTCCTCCCAGCCTCGCCAACGGCCTGCAATGCTGGGAGATGAATTCCAAAACATCCAGGCGTCGACTTTCTGACCACACATTGTACGACAAGGAAGCCACCAAGTGATGGGTGTTTGGGTGCACGGTGGTGTAGCTACCAGGTGACGCCCAGGAGGCTGGGCTCAGGCCCGCAGCCACCACTTCTCCACTGACAGGCAGCTAGAGGCATCCCAGCTGTGCCTCAGAGTGAAGACAGCTTCACAAGCTCACGAGGGCCAGACAGCCGCTGATGCAGGGGCCCTTCCTTGGACCACCTGTCAGAAAAGCAGGTACACTGACACACCTGTGCTTCCCACAGGGCCAGAAAGGGGCACCTGCTGATGCAGGTGCGGGCGCTCGGGGCAAGGAGGGGCTCGCGCACCTTGTCAAGTGGGCCTCGGGGCAACATGCTGCGATGTGAGGAGCCTTGTTTACGCTGCGCACAAAAGCAGCACGTAAATTAAAATGGCGAGGGGGACGTTTCCTGAGGTGGGAGGGAGCAGCTGGGAAAGAGAACCACCGACATCGCGTCCGTGGTGCGAAACTGAGGAGCTGCTCGCAGGCTGAGCGGCAACATTCATCTGGCCCTCGGTGAATGGCTGGTTCCACGACCCTTTGGCGCCTGCGTCCTGTGGGACTCTGCACCTCCACCCAAGGAGACGGGGGGAAGGGGGCTGCCTACCCAGCTCCTGCGCCATCTCCTGCTTGGCCGGCAGAGTGGCCCTGCTCCAGATCGCATCCAGGACGCGGCTCCCATGCTTGCTGCAGGCCACGGACACGTAGCAGCCCTGGGGATAAGGAAGGGGAGGCGGTCGCACGGGCCCTCCTGGGTGGAGGACAGCTCGGACGCGGGGCTGCCACCCTCTGCCCCAAACGCATCCGAGGGGGAGGGGGAGCAGGAGCGCCCGAGCAGGATCCCACGCTGTGGGGCCCCGGCACTCACCTTGAGCCGACGCAACACTTTGCGCCTCTGCTTCTCGGGCACGGAGGGGCTGGCCAGGAGGGCGTCGAAGACGTGGCTGCCCGCCGGGTCACAGGCCAGGGTCACCAGATCCTCAGGGCCCAGGGCGGCCAGGCTGCGCAGCACGGCGGAGGGGTCAGCGAAGTGGAGCAGGTGCTGCAGCATCAGGGAGCCGTGGTAGGAGACCGAGCTCAGGGGCCGCGCCGCGCCGGCCTGGGGACGCGGGAGAGAGGCGCACGCAACGCGGTCAGACAGCGAGAGTCAGTGCACGTGTATGCGCCCCACTTCGCTGCCGCTGCCGCTCTGCAAAGGACGGGCTGTGCTTTTAAACACAACCCCATGCGTAAACATTGGGACACAATGAGAAATCTCTGCTTCCATCTTAGAAACAACGCAAGGCCCTGCTCCTCATGAGAAGTGGAGACACCCTGATAAGGGAGGAGTGGACAGAAGGGGCGGCGGGGGGGGGAGGCTTGTGTTGACTCTAGAGGACCATGGAGGGCAGGAGAAATTAAGCCGCTGCTGAGGAACACAAAACAGAATCCTGCTGCTTCAAGCTCTTCCACGCCCAGATCAACCCGTTGAAATGGCTCATCACAAGAGGAAGAAAAGGGGGAAGGAAGAGGAATACTCGCAAACTCAGGCACCAAGTCCTTGAGCACTGCATAATAATCACCAGCTCGCATGGAACCCGCTGGGAGAGTGGCCTCTACTTCCCCATCATCCCACTTCTCCGCCACCAGCGGCTTACCTGGCGGGCTGGTGGGTTCTCCTCTCCCTCCTCGCCGTAGTACACCTCATAAGCCAGCACAGAAGCAATCAGAGGGACACACGCCAGCTGGCGCGGCGGAGGCTCCCAGCAGTGGAATGCCTGAGGGAGGCCAAAGAGGAGACCGCGGTGACTTCGGAGCACGCAAATCAATGCTGGCCACAGAGAGGGCGAAGCAGAGGCCTCTTACCTCCAGGAGGGTCTGCAGCACCTCCTGCTGGTGAGCCCCATGTCTTCTGCAGGCCCCCAGCAGCGCTGTAACCACGCCCAGGTGCTCGTGGGCCATGATCTCTTCCACCCCTGGGGCCAGCTCTTCAAACAGTTGCCCCAGCTGCGAGAGAGATGGGGAGAAACGAGGACACCATTAGGGCGAGCAGCACTCACACCCCTCCGCTGCCTCTTCCCTTGACCAGCTTCGTCGGGCCGAGGGACGGCCCAGGCAGAGAGTGGGCCAGAGACGGCCACCTGTGAGGGGCATCCTCAGCTGAAGAATGGCAGCTTGCCCACCCACCAGCACCTCCTGTACAAGAAAGGCATGGTTTATGTTCCTGTACCGTGCCCCCCTCCTTCCCCGTGTCCCCCTTTTGCTCTCACTCCTTTTATTTCGCTAAGCAGGCAGTCCTGGAATATTGCTTACAAATGGAGTACTCCAAGTTTTCCTTTTCCTAAAGAGCTAACATCTGCCCACTAGATCTAACCAAGAAACACTGGCTGCTTCTCCCAGGCGGCATCCGATCTGCAAGCCAAGCCAGCGACACGACAGGACCTAACCGCAGCAGCTGAATGGCTCCCATCGAAGGGCGCACGCAGATCTCAGCTAAGCCGTTACCTTGCAAGAATCGTTTGGAGGAAAAAGGGCAGCTGCCCAGAACAAAAGCCAGCACTGTGGTGGTTCAGGCTCAGAGGGAGACCAGTTGTCGCCCTCCTGACGTTTGGCAACAAATAGCTAATGCTGAGCCGCAGCCAGGCTTCCCTTGTGTTCCCCGTGCAGGCCCACGACAGCCGGGAGCCCCACCGCTCCTGCTCTCAGAATGGAACGATCACCATAGGCAGGTCCACGTGCCCGACGGAGGCCACAAAAGGACAGCCACCACAATTTAGGGGCACGGGCAACCGGCAAATCATTGTCCTCTGGTGGTCACCGCTATTATTCTGTCCCATTTGCATTCCGCCTTTCCTCCTCTTGCAAGGAAGCCACAGAGGCTGACAAGTTTATCCTCATCTCATGCCCACAACAGCAGCCCTGTGAGGTAGGCCAGGCTGAGAGGCAGTGACATGCCTGAAGCCGCCCAGCAGACTTCACGGCTGAGTGGGGACTAGATTCTGGATCACCTGGGTCCCCGTCCGGTGCTCTTCGCCACCGTATTCGTAACCACGGAGAGCCACTTGGACGGGGATCCAGGAGATCCGAGTTCCAGTTCCCACTTGCCCATGAAGCTCCCCAGGAGGCTTTGGAGCAGTGAGTCGCTTCAGCCTGCCCTACCTCACAGGGCTCTTGTTCTGAGGACACCTTGGGTTCTTCACATCAGGGAAAAAGGCAGGATCGCAATCCAGCGAAATAAGTGCGGAAGCCACGTATCGTGCTGGCTCTCTTCCAGATCGCCAGACGTCTTCGACTTTCGACGCCTGCTACTCCTGGCAAGAGCCACGCTGGCAAGGGCTCCAGAGCCGCTGCCGAACCCATCCAGAGCGCAGCTGGCCGGCAACGCTCGGCCTGGGGCCAGCTCCCGCGGGCCACCTGAGGGCCCTCACTCACCAGCTTGCGGGAGGCCGCCTGGATGAGCCGCTGCAGGGTGAAGTTGGCCACCTCGTGTACAGCCAGCACCCGCAGCTGCCCCTTCACGTGAGCTTTGTAGAAGGCGCGCAGGGCCTTCGGCGCAGACACTTCCAGGACCTTGTCCAGCACCCGGCTGCATGTCACGTCCTTCAGAAACACCAGGAGGGTGCTGGGGAGAGAGAACGATCCAGTCAGGGAAGATCTCGCATCCAAATATGCTCCTGCTTCCCAGCAGCTCTCAAAACCCCATTGCATGGCGCCCAGAAGGCAAAAATGCCACCGAAGCAGCAACGGCTGATAAGGGCTGGGCAGACAAGAGGAGGTGCTTCTTTGCAGGAGGCGGGATGAAACTGGAGGCAAGAAGGTCTCCTCCAATTCAGATGCCTTTAAAAAAGGATCGACAGATGCCTGGAGAAAACCATCCATGGTTCCTAATCTGGTCGGCTCTATGGCACCCCCAGGACCTTGCTGGGGAACATGGGTGGAGAGTTGCTGTCATGCTCCTGTGCTGCTCATGTGGACAGCTGGCTGGCTGCTAGACCAGACGGCCCCTCAGTCTGACCCTGCAGGGCTCTCTCTGTGTTCGTTAGGGGAGATTTGGCTGAGTTACACCTCTGTGGTCAGCCAGGTATCCCTCCAAGCACGTAAAAGCAGTGCTGGATCAGGCCTCAAGTCTATCCACCCACACTAATTCTCCTCCTTTCTCCTGTATCTCCAGAAAAATCTTAAATTTTAAGATATTTAAGGGTTCTTAAAATGCAGCCCCTACAAGAGGCACCCGTGTCCACTGGCCACGCCAGCTTGGCAGAAGTTAACCAAAAGTGGGTGAACGGTCCCAGCCCAGCAGAGAACAGATGTTCTACATTTGACTGGCTGTGCTGTGTTTTGGAGGGAGGATTAAATCCAAAAGGCCCCTCAACTCTGAGCAGATACAGGCCCCCTCCCACCTCCCCTGCCCCAAGCCCTGCAGCCAATCAGGTATTTCACCTTTGCCCAGCAGAAGGGTTGCAGGAGCTCAAGTAGCCAATCACTGCATGGCACAGCTCTGCACATTCTTCCGGAAGCTTCCGGTGCAAGACCTCCAGGGATACCTGGAGACAGAGGCTGAAACATTTGTTTGTAATGAAATCTAGAAAGAGAGAGAGAGAGAGAGACTGTTTTCAGTTAGCACAAGAACCCACATTCAAGTGTTGAACATGGACTGTACCGGAACTGTGGGTTTTCTGGTTGCCTGAACCTGATCAAGTTAATAAAACCATGGTAAATAACCCACTGTTCTCAACCCAACAATTAGTCAGAGGTTCTCTTCATCAGATGTTCATGATTAGCAGCCCATGGCTTGCTATCTCAACTGGTTTCAGGTAACACAAGAATGCATCTGTCCTTGCTGCATTCTGCAGTTATCCACAGACAAGGGATGCCTGACGTGGCAAATACTATTCATTTTATTCAATTTATATGCTGCCATAACAGCCCATACATCACACTGTTACTGCAGAAAAATCACTTTCTGGAATAAAGATATTCCTTTTTTAAAAAGGTGTGAATGCAGAACACACAGAAGAGGTTATCAAGAGGAGAGCTAGAATCAAATTGAATTTTAATTTAACTGCATTGCTTTATAATGCAATACAGCACAAATACACACTACCCACAGTACAAAATGATACAATCCACACCACCCTGGTTGATTTATTAACAATATTTCTATGCCACTTAATGTCTAAGCTGTTCTCACACAAGTATTATAAATCGCATTTAAACATGCTATTAAGCACAATTTCAAAGTACAATAATACCAAAAGATCCTGAGAAAGATGGGACGGCATATGGTTAATTGGAAATATTTGGAAGTACGTGTGTTTTCAAGGGGAGCTGCACACACCTCCCAGACTGCACAAGGGGAAGGTTTTCCAGAGGCTGGAAAATTCCTGCTAGAGGGATAAAAGAACCTGGTGCCCTTCAGCGGCTGGGAATGACAACCCCCAGAACCCCCAGCCACTCGGCACTGGCTGGGGCAGATGGGAGCTATACTTCAAAACACCTGTAGGGCACCCCTGTCGCAATGCATCATTCTGTCGCACATGTGGATCGGGCAGGGTGGCCCTTTGGTTTCAAGGAATCTGAAGATTGAGTGGCCCACTCCACATCCCCAGCAGAAGGCAACGCCTCACCGGAAATGTGCTCCTGAAGGCACTGGCTGAATTCACGCAGCAGAGCGAGAAAAGAGTCTGGGACCTCAAACTCCTTGGGCCCATCGCTCACCAACTTAGCTTTCTTGGCTCTGGAATGGGATGTTCCTGGAAAGACAAGAAATGAGAAGATAAAAGAAGAGAACTTGCCTCATTACAGCCAGAACTGGACTTCCTGCCATGGATAAATGATGCAGTGCTCTCTGGAGGTACCATGCTTAAATCAGAGATGCCTGCATTCAAGGACACACTGACAAATATCTCAGAGATATTTCACTTCCTGGCAAATAGATGGAGAAGAAATGGAGGTAGTGACAGATTTTATTTTCCTTGGCTCCCAAGATCACTGCAGATGGGGACTACAACCAAGAAATTAGAAGACGCTTGCTCCTGGAAAGGAAAGCTATGACAAATCTAGACAGCATACTAAAAAGCAGAGACATCACCCTGCTGACAAAAGTGCGTATAGTCAAAGCTATGGTTTTCCCAAGTTGCAATGTATGGCTGTGAAAGCTGGACTATAAGGAAGGCTGAGCATGGAAGAACTGAGGCCTTTGAATAGTGGTGCTGGAGGAGATTCCTGCGAGTCCCTTGGACCGCAAGGCGATCCAACTGGTCAGTCCCAGAGGAGATCAACCCCGACTGCTCTTTAGAAGGCCAGATACTGAAGAAGAAACTCAAGTACTTTGGCCACCTAATGAGAAGGAAGGACTCCCTGGAGAAGAGCCTGATGCTGGGAACAATAGATGGCGAAAGAAGGAGGGGACGGCAGAGGATGAGGTGATTAGATGGAGTGGTGGAGGACAGGAAGGCCTGAAGGAGTGTTGTCCATGGGGTCACAATGGGTCAGACACGACTTTGCAACTAACAACAACAACAATCTGTGCACCCAGGTAAGCTCTGAACTTGCCAAAGCTACTCAGAAACAAGACAGAGTAATGACACCAGTGAAGCAAGCAAAGGTGAGGTTGCATCTCTTCTTCTAATAGCAAACACCAGTAGGAAGTTGCAAGAGGACCGTAGTTAAAATGGAGGGCACTGAGAAATAAGAGATGTCCACACGGACAGGAGAACCACAAGGCTGAGATGCCTGAAGGAACACATAAACCCAGAAAAGAGGGTCTGGCGGAGAAAGGAGCAGCCTATTAGAGCATGGCACAGCTGGAACCCTGGAGAGCATCACTCCCATTCAGAGACAAGAATGCACGACCCCCTTTTGTGGCCGCTTCCCCCTTAAAATAGTTGCATGTTCACCTCACTCATCAGTCACAACTGGCTCCAAAGCGACCTAAAATTAAGATCTGTACAGAAGGACAAGGCTGGTGGGGACATCTTTGCAAGGAGGATGGTCTCCTCCATCCTTGGCCATTTGGCAACACAGTCTAGGTACGGGCTTCGGCATACAAACGCAGACACATCCCTCCCCGATACCAAGGCCAGACTTTCTCCACTTAGCTCAGCCACTCCCACCCTGACCTGCAAGAACTCCCCGGGGTGCTGGGCAGAGAAGGGGCGTTCCCTGCTTCATGCAAGGCATGCTGAGCTCCCTCCTGCAGGAGGGGAGGAAAGGAACTCCAGGCGGACCTGGAGGCTTCCGCTGAGCTGAGCTGCCCGGCCTCCTGCAGGAGAACGAAGGGAGCTAACAGGGGGACATGGAGGAAGTACAGGAGCAGTGGGGATGTTCAGAGAAAGCATGTGATTCAGCCCCGACACTTCGCCAGGCACGTGGGGAGGAATCACAACTCCAAGCATACCCCCAGTTAACCAGCCCTCCAGCTCGTAGATAACCGGTCTATCAAAGCCCTTCCGTATCCCCAGACATGAGATGCTCCCCACAATGCCACATAGTGGCCAAAGGGTTGCGCCAGGGCTGCAGAAGGTGCCGGTTTCAGACCCCACTTGGCCACGCAGCTCGCCAGGTGTCTTGAGCCTGGTCGGGCTCTCGGCCTAACCTAACGCACAGGGCTGTTCCTTGGAGAAGAAGAGGGCTGTCCTTGAAAGAAATGAGAGAGATAATTGCTTACCTAAGCCCGACAGCGCCCGGCCTCCATCTGACCCGACTCGGACTCCTCCAAGAGCCTGCAGCAGTGTCCGCACCACAAAGCTGGCATGAGCGTCCAATGCAAAGACCGACAGCTCCTCCCGCATGGCCCGTCCCAGCTCCAGAACCAGGTCCTCCAGCGCCCCAGCCTCCTCTGCTCCATCAGCAATCAGCAAGGGGGCCCTCAGCAAGGCAGCCTCCAGGATGTGGGCCCCACAGGGGTGGCAGGCGACCAGGTGGAGCGAAGGGGCCAGGGCTCGCAGCAGACTGCATAAGCTGGATGCCGCCGCAAAAGGAACCAGGGCCTGGAGGAGCAGGGAACCAGCGGCATCCAGGGCGAGTGGCAGGGCCACCGCTTCCGCCTCCTCCAAGACATTGCTCACGAAGAGCCCTGGGGTTGCCGGAGGGAAGCAGAAGGCGGGAGACAGTTACAAACGCATGGGATGGCAGAGCCACAAAGGGCCAAACTGTCAGGTTCGGATTGCTCTGGCAGTTAGACGTAGGATGTAAGGCAGGGTAACTGCCCATCAACTTCTTTCAAAGAGTCTTACCCTTTTCCTCCTCAGAGTCAAACCCAGATTTCAAGGTCTCATGAGCCCGACAGAAGTACTCAGCTGCTGCAGGTTCCAATCTGGGGAAAGATGCCCCCTTGCTTTCCTTGGCACCCCCTCGCTGGGGTAAGGAGGCAGGCAAGTCCTGCCTTCTCCGTTTTTTCTTGCTTTTAGCGCCTTTCTGGTGCTGGGAAGAGACCCCCATCACCCAGGATGGAGGGCACACAGTGGGGGTCGCTCAGTATGTGTGGCAGCCTGCAGTGAAGAAATCAGCAGTTATCAGACATCACGGTGATATGACCGCATCTAGGAGAAGAAAGGGAAGCAGAGATGAAAAGAAAAGTAAGCGTGTGAAAGTTTAACACACAAGAGCATTTGAAAGTTTGATACAAAAATTCAGCCAACCACGTTTCCAATCCCTGCATTCAGCCACAAAATTCACCAAGTGAACCTGGATCATCAGCAGCTCTCAGATGAGCCCCGACTAGCCTATCTTCCTCATAGGGTTGCTGTGGGGATAATGTGAACACAAGAAGAGGCACAGCACAAGCTGCTGGCACCCACAGAGCTGAAGCTCACCCCAAAGGATCCTTGTGCCTTAAAGAGCCATTCCACACACACACCCTGACTGCTATTTTTGTTTATATCATTTTATTTTAACCTCTTTCTCCCGTCCATTTGTCTACAGAAGCATGCCCAAAGTGGCATACGTGTAACTCTAAAACAACATAATAGGAAAACTAGACAACAAACATGAACTAGAGTACAAGCAAATTTAAAATTAATTTAGAATGAATTAAAAAACCATCTCAATACACCAAAATGCTTCTTATAATGCTGGACAAAAAACAGCAAACATAATACAGCCATTTCCCATTTCTCTCCCATAGCACGGGATCAGAGGTGCACCTCCACAGATGCCTGGATAGTTAAGCAGAGATATCCACCAATCTCAGTCGAAGTTAAATTCCCATTTATTTCAAAGGAGCCGCTCTGTGTAAGCCTGGTACCAAACCCAGCGTGGTGTGGCTGGAACACTGCTGGGCTGGGACTTGGGAGATGCAGGTTCCACTCCCCACTCAGCCATGGAGCCAACTGGGTGACTTTGGGCCAGTAACAGACCCTCCGCCTAGCCTACCTCACAGGGTTGCTGTGAGGATAAAATGGAGAGGAGGAAGAGAACTAGGCGAGGCCCCTCGAAGAGGGAAAAAAGGCTATAAATACAGCGTCACGCACACACACGTGTCACCGTGCGCTCCTCTCCAAGAACGAGCTACTTCCCTACGTCTCGCCTGTTGAACTTCCACCTGCAGAGCCTCGCCTGTCGCATTTCTGCCTGCGGCGCACAAGACGCGCCACGCAGCCCAACAGCTCCGCGCCCCGCGCTCCCTCACCGGAAGGGCCAGAGCAGCCGCCGCCACCGCGCCCGGCGACCCCACCGAGCCACGCGTCCCGCCGTGCACCGCGCGCCGGCCCATGGTGCACCGCGAGCGCAGCAGGGCCCCGGCGCGCCGCTTCCCGCCGTGCACCGCGCGGGCGCAGACCTCCCCGCCCAGCATGCATTGCGGCCGCGCGCTGCTTCGGCTGCCCGTTTGGGCTTTGCCAGCTGGCGCCCTCGAGTTGGGTCGGATGGCCCTTGGTCATGGCTGCTGGGGGATGATGGGAGTCGCAGTCCAACATACCTGGCGGGCACAGTCTGGGGCAGGGGAGGACTCCTGTGAGGGTGCCTGTAGTCATGCGTTTGTGGGGACGGGGGGCCAGGCTCGAGCTCCCACCCCAGTGGGGGCTCCTTCCCCCGTGGCAAGGCTTGACCGCCCGGAAGGCCCCTTGCGCCATGAGAAGCGGCACAGTATGCAAGACACGTGGTGGCGCTTCTAAACACACACGTGCACTGAAGGATTGAAGTATTTCCAGCTTGCCTTGCACACTGGGGTTGGTGAGGCTTCTGGCTGAATGATAAAAGTGCAAATGCAGTCGATTCACCTCACAGATGAAGGAGCAATACTAACAAGAAACAATAAAGTGCCGCCCAACAGTAGGTAAGAGCAGAGTCCCTGAACTGTGGCCTAAACCTGGGGCCAAGGCTGATGCGACCTCAACTGCACCATCACGTTCCTGCACCTGCAAGAGGTGTTTAACGAATATTTGCACAAAGGCGCGTGTGCACGTGCATGCACACACATACAGAGAAAATGTGTGCGTGTGCATGCGCACACCTGGCATTGTGCACGTCACAAACATTTAGAATTCGTCCATGTGGTAGTGTTTTAAAAAAGACAATATGATTGCAAAGTAAATGTTTTATTAAATGTACTTATATTATTACAGGTTTTGTTGAACAAGTTATCAAGAAGTGTCTGATGAGTAGTTTTCTCTTTCTCAGCATAAAGTCTGCGATGACAAGCAATAGGACTGTCTAGACCTCGGCAAACAAGCCCAAATACCATAGTTTGTATTGCCACCAAAAAATCCTTCCAAAAATGCATCAGCATTGTGGGAAAAAACTTTAAAAAATGATACTGAATATAAATTATCCTGAGTCAAGGAACACTAGTAGATGGAATGGAATGAAGTCGGATAAAGTCGGATTCCCTGAAGTAAAGCGGTGGAGGAGGGTGCCTGATAAAATTGCAGAGTTGGAAATTTGGGCCCAATGCAGGAATCTGATTTAAAGCATAAATGACAAGTGAAGAGCCCAGTGCCTCCCTGGGCAGCTGCCTCCACTGCCATTCCAGAGGCCTGGAGCTTGGAGGGTCAGGCCTGAGGACTGGACGAATTCGTACTGCCTGCCACGAGCCCTGATGGCTGTGGGGCTTGCACTCGCATCACTGGGGAGCACGCTCCGCGGCCCAGCCAGTGCGGTGAGGGCAAAGGCGCCGTCATTATTTGCTTTTCGGCGCCAGGCAAAGACCTTTTTATTTAAAAGTTATTTTAACTGTTAATTTATTATTATTGTATTTATAGATTTTAATATATAGCCGAGATGGTACCAGTTTTTCAATTATTGCTTGTATTTTATGTATGTTGTGAGCCGCCCCGAGGCTTTGTTGCGATGGGGGCGGCATAGAAATGTTTTAAATAAACAAACAAACAAACAAGGCGGCCCAACGAAGCAGAAATGTTTTAAATAAATAAGTAAGTAAGGCGGCCCAACGAAGCAGGCGCCACCCCGCGCTCTCGCCCGAAGGCCGCGCTTGGGAACGGCGCCTAGCAACCCCCGGCGACTCCGCCCCGTCCCACCATGCATCGCGCGCGCGCCTTCACGACGCATTGCGAGCGTCAGAACCATCTTGCCACTCCGCATCCCGGCATGCAACGCGCGGCGGTATCTACTGCCAGTCCAGCATGCTTTGCGAGCGGCGTGCTTCCTTCTCTTCCCTCCGTTAACTCTTTCTCAGCTGGTGAACTCTACCTTTGCTGGATGGCGTTTGTCATGGGGGATGATGGGATTTGCATTTCCTGGGCCCAGAGTTGAGGCAGGCGATGCGTGCCCGTGCAAGGCAGCAGCCTTTATTCATGAGCTCATGGGGGGGTCTGCATAAGCGATTTTGGGGACTCCAACTCCCATAAGTCCCAGCCACCATACCAATGGCCAGGCCGTATGAGGGCGCCTAGGGTAGCATTCAGAGAAATACCAGGGACTGTTCCCATTGGGCTGTCTCCACCCCACGTTCCCCCCATACCACTGGGACATGAGAGAAGCACTTTCCACCAGCCCCACTGAAACGACTTCATCTTTTCCTTTCCTGGCCCCATTTCCTTGCATAATGTGTGTTGTTGTTAACCATTTATTTAATTTCTACACCACCCCACAGAGCAAGGCAGTTTACAACTGTCAGTAAAAGCAAACAATAAAAATATCATAAAAACAAAACAAAAACCATTAAAAAGTTTTAAACACCTAAAACAGGCAATAGCAAAACACGATTCTGCAAAACACCCCCTCAAGCCCCAGGGTGGCCAAGATCTTTAAAGGCCCTGGAAAATAGAGCTAGCTTCACCTGGTGCTGAAAAGATGGTGCATTCACCTCCGGCCAGGGGAGCACCACCAAGTAAGCCCTCCCCCCCTTTTTTAGAGTACACATCTGCTGCGATCAGGGACTTAATTTTTTGCTTATGCCACTCCAAGAGCCCTTTTCTCCCTTTTCATTTTTGACTGAGGTGCAGGAGAGAACTATTTTAAATAGCTTTATATGAGCCCCAGACCCCATGTCCTTCAGCTGGGCTCTGACCCTGAATTTCTGGGCCTGAGCCCTGGATGTACCCCACACTTCTCCCTTCCAGCCCCAGAACACTTCAGAGAAAGATCAAATCTAGGCATGTGAAGGTCTTCTCCCAATGTCAGTGTCACAACCAGGACAAATTAATATGATATATAATTGCAGACTGTCAGGTTCCACCTTCAGTAAAAGGGCTCGGACAGGTCTGGCTACCAGGCGTTCCTAGCCGAAGAAAACTAATTCATGTCCAGGTGACACCTCCTGGCCTAGACCTGAGTCAGATTTCCCTGGACTGGGAAATTCTGGCTGCCTACGGGTGTGCCTGCTGCCACGCCAACAGCACCGCTCTTCCCTCTGTTTTATTACCAAGCAAAAGCAGAGTTTGTGAAGCCCAGGGCCCCCATCCATGGGGCGGGAAGCCTTTTAATAGTAGTCCTATCATAATCCCCAGTCATGTTTTCTCAGGGTGATATAGGGTGGAGTCCCATGCACGTTTAAACTGAGATGTACGTGCTGTGCGTGCCTACAACCCCCAGCAGGTCCCAGTTATAAACATTTTCTGTCTAAATACACAGAAATGTTAGGGCAACATCCTCTGCTCAGAAGACAGTCCCACGGAGTTCAATCACAAGGAAGGGGCACAAGATTAGACCACGCAGATGTTATGGGAACAGAGGTAGCAAGTTTCCAGGAGTCACAGAATACCTTTTCATCCCGGAAGAACAACTTCTGAAGAAGATGCTGTTTAACTTGGAAACGTGTACTCCTGATTTTTCCTAAAACTAAGCCATGTGGAAGTGTGAATGCTTCTTTTCTTCAGTGAGTGTATGCATCACAGTTCCTTCTCTGAAGAGATCAAGGAGGAAGACAAAAGAGAGTTTATAGTGTAGAGTTTTGTGGTTGACTCAGTATTTTTATGATAACTTTGACACCCGCATCCACCCACTGAAACCAGCAATTATGAATCATGACCATGTCACATCAACGTACCGTGGCAGAGATGGTGAGTGAGCTTGGGGTTAAAATGAGGACAAGAGAAACCCAGACCAGCTGGAAAGAACTTGGATTTCAGAGAAGAGAATACCTGCTTTTCCTCCAACCTTTCTGAATTTCAACCATGATTAGCCACTGAATATTTTGTCAATAAGAAGGCTTGCTTCTGGAACACCAAAATATCCTGGAAAATGCAATGTCTCTGAGCTTGTGCAGAGTTTATTTACAGAAAAAAATCAAACCTTTATTTTGCTATTATTTTTAGCAAGAAAAATATTGTAATTTTTCTGTCATAATGTATTTCCCATTTCCTATTCCTAAGCCACCTCAGATGTTTTACAGAGCCAGTGTGGCGGAGTGGTTAAGAGTACTGAAAAGGCACGCAGTTTCTCATTTCCCCCTCAGCCATGAAGCCCATTTGGGCCAAGCACCATCTCCCAGCCAAACCCGCCACACAGGGTTGTTGTAAGAATAAAATGAAAAAGAGTAACCACCTTAGATCCCATGCAAGATATAAATCCAGTGTAATAATAATATAAATTTTAGAAAGGAATCTGATGTGAGGCCAGTGGTCGAGTTATCTATCTCTTCTACGAAATACTTGTTTGTTCCCCACAATGTACTGCATGTAGATCTGTAAACAATTGTATGCCTGTTTATTTATTTATTTATTTATTTATTTATTTAGGAGGCTTCTATGCCGCCCTATTTGCCGAAGCCTCGGGGCAGCTCACAATAATAAATAAATAAACACAATATAAAAACAATACAATTTGAGTCGACCAAATTGAATATGTTTAAACACATATTCTTTATACTAGGAGTTACAGGACATTTTTCTGGCCCAACCAGGCATAGGATTACACCCTAAAGCAAATCACAGAAAGACCTCATCCAAAGCAAGGGAGCTCAGGGCCATTGTGTTTTTTCCGAGATTCCCCAACTGCAGGGAAAACCGGAAAGCATGCAACAACTGTTAAAGGTAGGGTATTTCCTCTTGCACAACTTCCACCCAGCTTTTCTGGGAATAAGCACCGTTGAACCCAGTGAGGACTGCATCCGAAAAAGCAGGAATGAATTGTGCAGGGAAACAGCAGCCAAAAAGGAGCACTTCCTTTTCCAAACTGTGCCTTGGATCCTATTCCTCCTTTTCCTTCCCAGTCTCTCGAACCCTGCTGGCAGTATCAAGCTGCAGCAATCACGTGAAGCACCTTTCCCCAACTGGTCAGCCTGCAGGGTTTTGGACATCCACTCCCATCAGCTCCAGATGTAGGTCCCATTCGTAGGGATGATAGGACTTGTAGTTCAACACATCTGGCAGCATCCAGGGAAGGGGAGGCTGTTCGAAAGAAAAAGAGAGTGGATTTGTTGCTGTTGGAATGAAAGCCCTCCAAGATATCCCGACCAACACAGCCTGGCTTAGCTCTTCTAAATTATTATTAATATTCGCAGTGAAGAGTCCTGGATATCACTAACTCGCTTTAACCACTAGCTGTCACTACCTTGCAAAGAACCCAGGCGTCCTGGTCCACCCCACCTGCATTTAGCTTAGGATAAAAGACAGTTTCTCTGAATAGTTACTGTGAAACTTATGTAACAATTCGAATCAATAGATAAGTCATTCTGAGTTTCTTTTCACCGCCGCCCACCCTTTAAGAAAGAGGAAAAAAGCTGCCCCTTTAAGAATCCTGGAACCTACGCCTTTAAGAATGGGAGACGCTCTGTCCCCAATGGAGGTCTCAACTCGTCGATCTTCGCGCGGCCGTGATAGGTTCCTTTCGCATCCCTTCTGCCCGACCCCAGTTAGACTCCCACAGGCTTCCGTGTTCACTTACACAGCCGAGGCTGCGGACGAGACCACTCGGCTCGGGACGGTTCCATATCCCGCGAGGATCCCCCGTTTTCTGCGGGCTGGTTGGTATCGCCCCCTAGAGGCTTCGTGGATTAGCCCAGCAGTTTCCTTTTCTCATCCCCACCCCCATGGCCCTTTTTGGGATGGTCTCGCCCTTTGGGAGCTTGGCCAGTTTTTTGCGGAAGAGACCATTTCATCCCTGCATGAGGGGGGAGAGTGAGGGAGTGGGTGTTGATTGATTTGGCGGATTGCTTAGTCGTGCGTTATTCGGGAAGATGCTCCCATTTGTTGGGAGGAGATGCTCAGAAATCTGTCCCTAGATGAACAGTGTGCTCCATCCCATAATGCATCGTTCATCAGGCTGATGCCCTGCAGATGTGTTGGACTGCAGCACCCATCATCCATGCTGGCAGGGAATTATGGGTGTCGCAGTCTAACGTGTCTGCAAAGCACCGGGGTTAAGAAATGCAAGAGGGTATTTGAAAACGAGGGAAAAACGACTTGCTTTCCCTGGCCTGGTGCCCTCCAGAGGTGTTGGACTACAAATCCCAGCATCCTGACCAGTGGCTGCGCTAGTTGACGCTGATGGGAACTAAAGCCCAAAACACCCAGAGATAACCAGGCTGAGGAGAACATGTTGGACAGGGCCTGCTCCAGGTTTGACCCCCCCCCCACCCCAGCCCACCCCAGCAAGGTAATCTCCAGTGGTTCCCGAGTCCATTTGTGGGCCCTGAAAGGCTTAACTAGCAGGATCAGTGCATTCTGCATTGCAGGGTCTAGCTGCCATTTTAATTTCCCATAATACCTCAGTGATGCCAACCCAAGAGCATTGTGGGAAATCAAAACGTCCTAGACTCAATAGCCTGGTACTACTTGGATGCAGGCCAGAAAGCGAGGGGGGAAACACTATGGGGAAAGAGGGACAAGTTTTGGGGGTGCTGGAAATCGCAGAGGAGGCTTGGGCTGGTCCAGCAGCAGCCCTGTCGGCTAACACGTGCACGCTGCCTGTTGTGGGCGACATTGCATGCAGAGGCCCGTGAGCTCAGCGCATGAGAGGCCTTGAGCAAGCCGACTCACCCGGCTTGGCTCACAGGGATGCAAGAATGTGAGATTCAGTTGCTTCGTCACCTTACAATAAAACCGGAGCAAGGCTCAAAAGTATCAGTGGTGATGCAATTGTACTGCTGTCTTCCCCATCCTGGATCCCTCCAGATTTGTTAAACTACAATTTCCAGCATCCCCAAGCCACTTATAAAAAGAGAGGGCCCAGAGAATTATGAATGCCATGTTAAGCTCTTGAAAATGGAAAAATAATTTTAATTTTTATTAAAATTATGGAATGCGCTCTCCAGAGAGGTCCGCCTGGCGCCGTCATTATATGTTTTTCGGCACCATGTTAAGACCTTTTTATTTAATATTTTAATAAGTTTTAATATTGAATATTATCATCATATTTTAATTGCAGCCAGAGTGGGTTGTTAATTTATTTATGTTATGTTAGATATTTGTGTTGTGTAAGCCATCCTGAGGCTCTTGCAAAGGACGGCATACAAATATGCTAAATAAATAAATAAATTTTAAAAATCATTCTAAAGCTGGGCTTTGCATTATAAAATGCCTTCAGTATTGCTGCTCATCTTGCTTATTTTTTTAATCTTCTAGGATACATAATTAATTCTTCATCACCCTTGGAACCGTTTTTGCAGCGCCAGTCAACATGGTGAGTAGGGAGCGGGGGCCCTCTGCCTTCACGCCCCTTTGATGATGATCCGTGCCAGTTGTTCTCCATCATGAGGCTTTTATATCTGAGCTGATGGGAGCCTCCTAGAGTCCCAATCTCTGGGAATAGGCAGGATATAAATAAATACAATAATAGCTGCTCTTCCTCCCTTTCCCAATTTTGACAACCGTGCAATTCCCCAAAGGAGGGCCCTGCACGGAGGAGTTCATTCACCCTCATGGTCCTTTCTTCTTTTCGCTTTGGTCCAACGTCCTGTCACCCAACAGCATGGCAGGCTGAAGGTAAAGACGACGGAGGAGCAAGCAGAGACCAAACGTGTCGAGCGGGAGAAGAAGCTGTGCCAATATGTGACTGCCACCAAAGCCATCTTTGAGAAGGTAAAAAGGACAGGGGAGGACCGGGCCAGGGCAGGACCTCTCCTTGGCCTGCCAGAACGCAGTGTTCCCCGATGAGCTCTGGGTAGATCGACTCACCTGCTCCAGCACCCGCTGCCAATCGACGTCAAGGAGGTGCCCACCTTGCTCTGTTTCTGGCATTGGCCGAAGCCATTTTTAGTTCGACAAGTTTGATCGCGATATCAGCCACAGTTTTACAGGGATAGCTTGAATTCTGACCTTTTTAAATGTAGGTACGGAGCTGCTTATAAAGGCTGCAAGTAACCAAGAGTGCAATCCTGTGCTTGCGTCGACAGAAGAAAGGGTGACTGGGTCATTCTTGGAGTGTCCATGTGTTCTGTCTACACATGCATCAGATTGTGCCTTATTTATTTATTTGGACAACTTATATGCTGCCCCATTCCCATAAGCCTCAAATAAGTAAAATAACAATTGTTGACTTCTTGCCATTTAAACAGGCTAACTTTGTGTTTCGCTTTGTCCTAAGATGATATTCTGAGTCTATCTGATATGACCTAAGATGTCCTAAGATGTTATTCTGATTTATTAGTCTTAAACCTCTGACGTTTGCTGCATGAATAAGTCAAGCAATAGGGCAAAGTTTAGTTCCTGAATTCTTTCCAGTCCGGGCCAAAGCCAAAATGTGTTGCTTAGGGGGATTTTGACCCGTTGCCATTTGTCACGCCTTGAATGGAGTGTCATTCCCACGAGGCCACAGTGCAGAGGTGGGCTGCACCTTCCATACTGCAGCAGCTTTGCATGACGGGAGCCTGTGCATCCTCTGTTCCCGGAAAATAACGACGAGGGCAGGCGTGGAAGTGGACGTGGGCACATGCACCTCCCTGAAGTAACTTTTCTCCTCCAGAGGAAATCGGGCCAGCTGGACAAGGAAGCCCTCGAGCTGACCAGCCAGGTCCTGGGGGTCAACCCAGACTTCGCCACCCTCTGGAACTTCCGGCGGGAGATCTTCCTTCACCTGCAGGAGGAGTGAGTGCTGCCGGCCAGAGCGGGCAGGGCGAGGGTGGGTGCCTCTGGGTGCGAGGCGGCACCGTTGCCCCCCTTCACCGGGCGCCTCCCCTTGTGTGTGGCAGGACCCCAGAAGAGATGCAAGCCCTGTGCAAGGCGGAGCTCTCCTTCCTGGAGTCCTGCCTGCGCGTGAACCCCAAATCCTACGGGACATGGCACCATCGCTGCTGGGTGATGGAGCACATCCCTGAGCCGGACTGGGCCCGTGAGCTGGAGCTGTGTGGGAAATTCCTGGAGATCGACGAGCGCAACTGTAGGTGTTTTCCTTCGTCTTCCCTTTCCTGTCTCACCCCTTCCTAGGACCACAGCTCCGTGGAGGGCCCCTTTGTGCTTGCCAGAGGCCCCCAGACCAGTCCCTGGGGAAGGGTGGCTCCCCCTATAATATATGGCTGTAACAGAGGCCAGTAGGGTCTGGCCAAGCATCCGCCTGCTTCCCCGCTCCCTCCCCAGGGCCAGCCAGAATGACCCGAAGTGGGGCGTGCAGGCCCTCACTCCCTCCCGTTCTTGTTCCCGCTCCTGCATCCAGAGGTGAACTTGTCCATGAATGCGCAAGTTCTGTTGAGCAACCGTGTCTGGTGCCCGTTGCCCAAGCTGCTCTCCTTTTCCATACATTTGCTTAACCCTTTTTCAAAGCCGTCGAAGTCCATGGGCATCATGCAGCTGTGAATTCTGAAAATCTGTCTGTCTGTCTCGGCTTCAAAGCAAGCCCCTTCCAGGCATGCAAATCCCACCTAAAATGTAATGAGATTCTATTATTATTATTATTATTATTATTATTATTATTATTATTATTATTATAACATTTCTATGCCGCCCCTTGCCAAAACCTCGGGGCAGCTTACAGCACAATAAAATACATTGAAATACAATAGAACATAATAAATTACCATTAAATACAAAAATACAAAAAATACACTGAGTTACAAACATAATAATATAAAATTAAAATTATCAGTATAAAATAAGTAAATAAATAATATAGGAGGAGAAAAGAGAAGGAAGAAGAAGTTGCTATTTCTGCCAGCTTTAAAGTCCAGATGCTTTCAAAGAGCTGCTGTCACCAGTCTTGGGGAAAACCCAGCTCTTATCTCCAGTGATCCAGAGATAAGAGCAGGAGCCCCTGCATGGAGTTGAAGAGAGAAGGGTCAAGGCCTGCGGAGGAAGGGGAGTGGGATGCCCCGTGTGTTTGCCAAAGGGGAGTCGAATTTGTGAAAAGTTGCTGGGGAGCCACAAGTGGACGGATCCCAGGGGTGGTGGGGTGAATCCGTTGATCCCGCTCAGTGGTTCCTGGGGCTGAGCACTGATCTGCACACTCCTCTTTCCCCATGCCGTGCCCTCCAGTTCACTGCTGGGACTACCGGCGCTTCGTGGTGCAGCGGTCGCAGGTCCCTCCCGAGGACGAGCTGGCCTTCAGCGACAGCCTCATCACCCGGAACTTCTCCAACTACTCCTCCTGGCATTACCGCAGCCGCCTCCTGCCGCAGCTCTACCCCGATTCCCAGCAGCAGGGCCAGATCACGGAGGAGGTCCTACTGAAAGGTTGTCGCCCGGGGGAAGGGGGCGTGGGGTGGATGTGGGAATGCCTGACCCGAGAACCAAGCTGCACGGCCCCATGAAGGCAAAATAATTTCATGCTTGTCAAATGAGGAGTGGGGGAGACACAGCCTTTCAGGATGCAAACCGTTCCCATGTGTCTGAGTGCCATCAGTATGTATGGCATTTCGCAGACCGTATGGAGACAGGTCCCTGCCCCAAGGAGCTTACAGGCAAGGTGGCAGAGAAAGGGAGGAAAATGGCAGATGAGGTAATAGGAAGGAGAGGCCTTGGGCTTAGTTACAGCAGGACAGACATGGGAGTTGTACTCCAACGCATCTTGAGGGGCTGGGTTGGGAGAGGCTGCTTTAACCCAGTTGCCTGTCTTCAAGCGATGGTCAGCCCAAACCTTCACCCATGGCATGAAACGAAATTCCATTGCCCTGGAATGTGTGTGAAGATCATTAACAGCCCCAAATTGGCTGTATCCTCAGAACTGCTTGCCCGGAACTGCTTGAGATTCTGCACTAAGGTTTTGCAGCGTCCAGGAAAAAGTAAACTTCCCAGCCTGGGTGGATGCTGGGAGATGGAGTCAACTGGAGGGTACTCGGCTGCAAGGGGGGATGGAGACAGATGGACTGTGTGAAAGTTTTCATAGCAAAAGATGTTTTCAGGATAAATTTGAAGTAAGTTCATAGTATTCTGTAGTCTTGCAGTCGCACTGTGGAATCCCTTCCTACAGGATGTAGTGATGGGCATCAATTTGGTCAGCTTTAAACAGGATTAGACCAACTCATGGAGAGTAAGGCTCTCACTTTCTGCTAGTCCTCATGGGCATATTTAAAAAAAAAATCTTTTCCTTTTTTCAGGAGATTTCTATGCTACTTTTCATTTAAAAAATAAATCCCAAAGTGGTGCACAGGATAAAATCCAGATAAAATGCAGTAAAACTAAACTGAAAGAATTATGTCTCATTAAAATGACTAGGTGAGTCTGACAGCATTAGCAGTTGGGGATTGTCTGGGCAAACCAGTGTGTTGGCAGCAGAAATAGGCCTCGGTGGTGGGAGCCCACCTCAGCTCAGTAGGAAAATGATTCTGCACGTGGGTGCTACCACGGAGAAGGCCCTGCCATGGCTAAACATGGTCAGGATACAGTACGCAGAGCCTCCCCCTTGGAACATAGAGACCAGGGTAGCCTAATATTGCAGGCAGTACAGTTCTCAAGACCAGTTGCTGGGGAGCATGGGCAGGAGAGTGCTCTTGTTCTCACGCCCTCCTCGTCAGCATCCCACTGGAGCATCTCCTTGGCTACTCCATGACCCAAATGCTAGACAAGCCACACCGTGGGCCTGATCCACCAGTGCTCTTCTTATGAAGAATTATTTAATTTATTTATTTATATTGCCGTTTATATCCTGCCTGTTTCCTGCAAAGGGCTCAAGGCAGCTTACATCATTCTCCTCCTCCATCTTATCCCCACAACAACGACCCTGTGAGGTAGGCTGGGCTGGGAGTCTGTGACTGGCCCAAAGTCACCCAGCTGGCTCCATGGCTGAGCGGGGACTCGAACCCAGATCCTCTGAGTCCCAGTCCCGTGCTCTTAACCACTGCACCACACGGGCTCTCTAAAGCCCAGCCTTCTAAAGCCCAGCTCACCCAAGCCAGTCCTGATGAAACGGAGTGGCAGCTTTCAGGTGACAAACTAGCGTGGATTGCAGGCAGTCCAAGAGCTGGGTGGACCCGGGCAAGGAAGACTTTAGATCACTAAGCTTAGAAAGCGCTGCACACAGCTTCCTAAAACTTCAATGATTAAGTCACTGAGTTGTCAGTTCTGCAGGAGGAGAACCGAGGCAGTTTCTCCCCTAAGCCACCATCCTAAGTGCATTTACTGGGGAGTAAGTGCCAGGGAAAAGATAGGATATTTTGGTGGATGTTCCTTCTTAGGGTCACCATCAGTTGGGGATGAGGGCACATGACCACAGAGGGCCTGGGATGGTGGCAGGGCTTTCTTCCTGGTAGGAATGCTCAAGACCGGGGGCTGCTCCATTTCCTTGCCCTCTCGGCAGAAGCCGGAAGAATTCTCGTGACACCTTCCCTAACGAAGCTTGCCTCCTGTTCTGAGCATCCTTGCTGCCCCCGTGGATTTCAGATCGAGCTGCAAGGCCGTGTCTTGGCTCTTCTTCCCCACCCAGCCAAGAAAGCAAGAGCTGTTTACGCCGCGAGTCCACCCACCACTGCATGGTTAACTGGCCCCCTGTGCTCGTCCTCTGGTCCCATGCATCTTCTAGATTTATTTTGCTTCTATTAGTTGCATTCATATCCACCCTTTTCCCCTCCTGCAAGGAAGCTTTCCTGATCTTCCCCTTCTCTGTGTTCTCCGTATTATCCTCACACCAACCCTGTGGGGTAAGTTAGACAGAGAGGCAGCGACCGGCCCAAAGTTGCCCAGAGAGCTGCTTGGCCATGCAAGGACCAGAACCCCCATGTGCCTTTCACACAACTGCTGCTCCCCTCCAGCTCTCATCACTCTTAATCAGAAACAAAATCTGCGACTTTCTCTTGGCCAAACAACTGACTGGCCACTGAGGTATCCCCCACTTGACTCCAGTCCTGCCTCATCCAACTTTCAGGAAAATTACTTTCCTAGCCTGCCTCTCTGAGTGCTTTTAACTGGAGATGAGAGTGTTGCACCCGGAGCCATCTGCAGGCAAAGGAGGGAGCTACTATCAAATCCTTTAGCACAGGGGTGTCCCACCTCTCTCTACTGCAAGGACAAGTTCCATTTCTGAGAAGTTTGTGGGGTGGGGGGGCACATTCCCTTGTCGGGTGAAGCCTAAGGGAGCAAGGCAGCGGCTGCATATTTTAGTCAAAAGCCCAAGGAAAGGAGGAAGCAGGAGGGAAAGACATGGCCGTCCTGGACATCCCGGTGGGTCGGAGAGGAACGGTGGGTGGGCCACCGTGTGCGTAAGCCTGAGGTTTTGCAGCCGGTTCCAAGAAAGGTGGGTTAAAGTGGAGTAGTGAGCTAGGACTCTGGAAGTCTCTCTCCCAGGTGTGAATCACCGTGGCGGCACTCCCTGATTCTGGACACCTAAGCCCAGCTGGCGGGAGGGAAATAGTTGAGCTGTGAGTAAAGTCTTGCCAAGGAAATCGCTTCCCAGAGGCCCAGCCCTGTACCTGACCAGGTGAACTGCTGAGGCTCTGCACCGCTGCCGGGTACCTGGATTCCTCCGAGAGCCGCAGCGTGGGAACCTGCCCAAGAGCCATCCCTGCCTGAGGGCAGCGCCCTGCGGCTGACAAGGAGGGATTTGGAAAGAGAAGTCACGTACGGAGCAGCTCCCGTTCTTCTCTCCTCAGCCCATCTGCCAGGCTCACTCTTCTTGTCATTCACACCGAGGGAGAACCGGCTAGTAAAGTGCTTTTTTGGCACGGCCTTCAGCTTGCCCTCCCCGGAGCCGTTCCCTGCCATCTCAAAACAAGCCCCTGCAGCACACGGTGCAATCCGTTCCTTGTTCCACAGCTCTTCTTTCCCACCAAAAGCAACTTTCTAGTCCTTCAGGTTGCAGAGGGTGGCTGGAGAGAGTGTGAGCCATTTCTGGCAAAAACTCAGAAGGTGGGGTCTGGGTTGGGGGAATGTCAGCTGGGTAGGAGTTCTGGGAACCTGGGGCAGGATTGGGACCCCTTGGCACCATTCCTTCTCTTCTCCCCCTGCCCCGCCCACCTCCTGCCCTGGCGCTCAGCACAGGCTGAAGCCTTTCAAGGTGTCTTTTCCATGGGGCAAACAGGATTAAAATTAAACAGGCTGTAAACTCAGATAAATTTGGTCAGGTGAAATTATCTGGTTTTGCGTAGCATAGACTTTGGTTAACCTCAGTCCAGGGTGCAATGTTGGGTGTGTCTGTGCTGTTGCTATTAAAGTGTCAGTTACTGGGCGGATTAGAAATGTATTAAATAAATAAAAATGTGGTTTTTGTTTAAGCACAGGGCAAACTGTTTAGAAAATATTGTCAGTTTTCATCTCTTAATGGTCTTCGTAGACAACGGGCTGATTCAGTGGTATAGCCACCCTTGGGTGAAGGGTTTGTTTTCTTGGGGGGGAGGGTTGGGGGGGGCTCATACAAAACCAGTCTGTGGGATTCTGGAAAACTCTTCCCAAAGTTCCCCAGTGTGGGGAGGGGGGGTGAATCTGTCACATAATTCAAGCAGACTTCCCCTACCTGGGCCCTCAACGTGTGATGGATTACAATGCCCAGTGTCCCTTGCCAGTTACCCCTTGCTGGCTAGGACGATGGGAGCTGTAATCCAACACACCTGCAGGGTGCCAGACTTGGGAAAGGCAGCTTTGAAGAAATCTAGTATTAGTAATGCTAATGGGAGACCCCTGAAAACTTGAAATCTTGGCGCACTGCAGCTGGTCAGGGTACATGAATGGTCTGACCCGGGACCACTCAGCTGCCTCCACGCCTGGGCTCTGCACTTCCCACTGCACTGTACTGCCTTCCTCCTCTGTAGGCTTCGCTAGCAGGGTGCAGAATTCTTCCCAGGGGATGCGCCTTGACTACAGCCGGGATGGAAAAAGGGCAACTTCCAAAACCCCTTTCTTGAGCCCTGCTCTTCTGCAGCCTTCCCAAGATGAGAGGCCTTGAGGTTTTGCAGACAGTCACCTGTGGAATTTTGCTAACCACAGAACCACCTCCCAGGCCACGTGTACTCTGGAAGGTTGCGCCGTTTTCCCTGGAAGTAGAATTAATGGAATTCCATGCAGGCCCAGACAAAGACGCCTGATTGCACAGGGGGAGCGAGAAAGCTGAGCTGGTGGAAGCCATGCCTTCCCTGCAGAGGAGCCCCAAAGCCACCCCACCAAAGCGGGGCCCCCGCAAGCTTGCCCTTTCCTTGGGAACTGATTTATCATCACTCCTGCACCCAGACAAACCCCCATGACTGACTACGCCCGGCTGCTCCCACTGTCTCTTGCGCCCGGATCAGGATCCCCAGAAGGGCCTCCCTGCCCCTCCCTTGAGACCTCTCCTGAAAGCCCATCTTTTCCAAGAGGGGTTTGAAGAACTGACCCCCCGTCCTTCCCATCACAGAGGTGTTCCGTCTCTTTCAGCCCAGGGGTCAAATTCTGTTCCAGAGAAGCTCCGGAGGATGTGAGGGGACTCAGTCCCTACAACGAGGGAGTCAAAGGCAAACCAGGCAAAGCCAAAATGCCTGCAGTTTTAATATCAAGCCCCTCATGCGAGCAATTTGAACCTGGGCGGGGGGCATTTCTCCCCTGTAGAAATGCAGACATGTCCGAGATGACCAACACTCGGTGGCCAAGCAACAGGTGGGAGGGCTCCCTTGGGGTCGTAGACCATGAGGGCCAGCACCTTGCTGTGCGTTTCCCCACTTTTGTCTCCTGGTTACCCTTGTCTCTCCTGGCCTCTGTTGTCTTTTCAGAAGTTTAGAGTGTAAGCTCCTTGCAGGCAGGGGACTGACTTGTTTTGCTTTTGAAACTCCCTAAAGCGCCCCGTGCATTGAAATAAATTTGGATTAAAACAACAGCTGAGACTCCCAAAGTCAGGGTGGGGAAATACCGTTTCGTAGTTGTGGTTAAGCTGTAGTGAAGAGTGTCAGGGAAGGATTCATAACAAAAGTAACAATTATCACAAGGGCCACTGAACGAAATCCAGACGGTCTCTCTTTCGGCACCACTTTCGTACCCCCCCCCTTGCTCGCTCACCTGCCTGCCTCCCTGGCAGGGTCGTTGTGAGGATCAAGTGAGGCGGGGGAAAGAACGAGGTCTCTTGCCCTGAGCTGCTCAGAGACGCGCCATCCATCTCCGCCCTGTGCAGAGAGACGGTGCGGCTTTCTCAGGCACTCAGTTTCCGCTCTGAACCCGCCTTCTCCACACCTTGGTGTTTTTGGCTGGCCTTTCGCATTGTCCTCCGCAAGGAGCAAGAGATGAATGAGAGCCAAACCACCTTGTACCGTGCGGTTTTGGCTTTGTCATGAGCCAACAAAGCGCTGAAACTTCGGGTGGTTTCAGCTGGGGAAGTTTCGGTGTTGTGACGGGGAAGGGAAGTTCCGCCATGGAAGGGCAGCCAGGACTCGCTTTGAAGGCCGGCGTGTCGGGGTGGAGAAAGTTATGCTTGGGGCTTTTTTGAACACCCCACGAGGTGGGTCATTTCACATAAGCTTGAGGTACATTTATTTATTTATTTATTTATTTATTTATTATTTATTTATTAAAACATTTTTATGCCGCCCCATTCGCCGAAGCCTCGGGGCGGCTTACAACAATAAACAAACTTGCTGGCACACTCCAGTAAATAAGATGTCATTCTTCTAAAACAGCTTTTGCAATTCATCTCTCATTCTATCTTAGAGAATTAATCCCTGATTTAATCTCAGGCTCCTAAATTACACGCCTCGATCGCCAGAGCAGGCTTCTTCACCCTGATGCACTCCACATGTGTTGGATTCAAACACGCATCATCCCCAAATAGTATACTGGTTTTCCACACAGGGTGTTGGAAATAATTCCCGACAAAGCAGTATGGAACAAAGCTTATGTATGCATATGAAAATAAATTGAGAACAGTGCGTTTATTAATAATGAACGGCCCACGCCTGGTCCATGTGTGTTAGCCTGAAGTATCTTAAGGACTAGAAACCTTATGCTTTTTTCCCCGCTTTTCCCTGCACAAACAGACGGAGATGCTGAGACCTTGAAACTCTGGCCCTAATGCCATATTCTTTACACTTGGAGCCTGAGTCATGTGGGGGAGGCTCCGAAAACTCAGCCCCCTGACCTGCTTCCCAGGGGCCAATGCAGTTCTTGTGTGAAAATGTCCCCCACCCCACTCTTGACTCTGCCTTCTCCCTCCCAGAGCTGGAGCTGGTACAGAACGCCTTCTTCACCGACCCGAATGACCAAAGCGCCTGGTTCTACCATCGCTGGCTCTTGGGCAGAGGTAAGGGCCGAAGGCTCAACCTTCTACAGGAGATGGGACAGGGCTGGAGGACCTCCCTAAGAGGAGAACCCGGGGCATGCGCTCCGGATCTTTTCTGGACACCCCTGAGCGCATTTAAGACTGAAAACGAAGTGGAACAGCAGGCACGGTTCTGCCTTCCAGTCCAGTCTTTGGGCTTCGCGGAAGCACCTCCCGAGCATGATGGGGAGCGGAATGCTGAGGTGGATGGGGCTGAATCAGCAGGGCAGGGGGTGCCCATTTCAGCCTGGGTGGCAAATTCCACTTCAGAGATGTGCCCAGGGGTCCTTTTCAGCGGTGGGCAAAATACCCAGGGCCAAAACACCAGAACACAGGCATCTTTTAGCTTAACTCTCGCACTGCCGGGAACAAAGCCATGGGGAACCTTCCCGGCCTTTTTGAAAGGGGGTGCGGGAACCACGCGAAGATCTGAGTGCCAGCAGGGCAGCCTGGGACCATAGGTGGGTCAGATTGAGTCGTTTCTGGGCTCGGCCTTAAATCATACCTCCCTCCTTCGGGGCATCTTTGCTCTCCTGCCGCCGCTGCCGCCGCATCCTCAGCTGATCCAGAACCGACGATTCGCTGCATCTATGTTAGCAGGGAGGATACTTCGCTCGTGGTCGCCTTCTCGCACCCCGTGGCGGTAAGTCCCAGAAATGGGAGGGAGAGAGGCTGTTCGGGAAGTGTTGTGAGGCCGTAACTCACGTATCCAATTAACTCACACAGCAGCAGGCAATAAAACTAAAGTCTTTTATCGCTTCTTTCTACAAGATTTACGATACAACAGATAAGCGCTGATGATGGTCTTAACGGGTCAGTTGCCTTCCCCTTTGTGAAGATTCTGGGGAGCCCACCTGGTATCAGCTTTTCCTGTCATGTCTTTCCGCTCTTGGGCGGGACAAACCTCTGTCTTGTGTCCCCTTTTGTTCCAGTCGTCTTAGGCTACGTCTAAGACTAGCATTAACTAAAGACATCACGCCTCCTGTATCTCCTGGACCCTGTCCAGGAGTCGCAGCGTCAGGAGGTGGGGGGGTATCTTGCTTGTGCTCCTGAGAGGCAAAATGAGGAGAAACCTCCCGTTCAGAAGCCTCATGATCAGGCCATGACGGGGCTGTTTGTTCTGAGGACAAAGGGTCAGGATGTGGGGGAGCTATTTGTTCAGTCGTTCCAGAGTCGGGCTGTGGAGGGGCCGTTTGGCTACCGGGCCCCAAGTATAAGTCATCTTGCTCTAATGTCTGATTCTCATTTTGAACGGTTGACTCTTTCTCGTGAGGTGACGTCTCTGTCGAGCCGCCAGGCACGGCAGGAAGGTCCCCTGGCACTCCGGACATCTTCCTTCTCTCGGCTTCAGGTGGCTCCTGCCTCTCACGACCTGATCGTGTTTGGAGATGAGTCCCCGCTGGTCGTCCGCTGGCGCACACCAGATGGAAGGAACAGGCCCGGGTTTATGTGGGTATCCTCCTGCCACCGCGTAGACCACAAACATCCAGAGTCCCTTTGGAAAGCGCAGATATTATGGGTTGGAAACGGGGTTTATTATGGTCCAGGATGCTCAGTGTTGGTTTTGTAAGGAGAATGTATCCAACTTGGGGGAAGTGACCTTTTGGGGAGAGAAAAGGATTTGCTTTGTACATGGATGCGCGTAAAATGTGCCTTCTCCACACTGCGATTCAAAATGGAGCAGGGTTGCAGTCACTCCTAAGCTGGTGCCTTCCAGATGTGCTGGCCCTGCTGCTGGGAATGATGGGAGTTGTGCTCCAGTGCATCTGGAGCGCACCAGGCTGAAGATGCCTGGTGCTAGGATGTTCAGCCGGATGGGAAAGGAAATCAAAAGGGACTAAGCCAAGATGAGGAGAGGTTAATGCGGCATTTTGGTGTGAAAACAAAAGCAGAGGGTCAGACGTCCAGAGGAGGGCTCCAATCTAGTCCAGCAGCAGAGTTGTGCTGGGAACGGGGAGGCTAATCTTGATTTTAACAGGAAGATGGTCAGTTTTTAACAGGAAGATGGTCACACTGGAGAGCCGGTGTGGCGTAGTGGTTAAGAGCATGGGACTGGGACTCAGACAATCTGGGTTCTAGTCCCCACTCAGCCATGGAGCCAACTGGGTGACTTTGGGCCAGTCACAGCCTCTCAGCCCAACCTACCTCACAGGATTGTTGTTGTGGGGATAAGATGGAGGAGGAGATGTAAGCTGCCTTGAGCCCTGTAGGAAAAAGGCAGGATATAAATCGAAAGATAAATAAATTTCAAGCAAAGCATCGACGGAGGAGCCGAGAGCGAGCAGGGAGCAAAGCCCTGAAGGGGCTGAACGCAGGGAGCTTAATGGAAAGACGCAAAGAGCATACGAAGGAAATGGTAACAATGCAAAAAGCGGAAAATCAGTCGAGGAGCCACGGAGGTGAGGGCACTGGCTTCCGTATGTTTAAGTGCACACAGGAGGCCCTCCTTGGATGCGTTGTGTCGGGGCATCGTGCGACCTAGAAGCACCACAGTGTTGGAAATTCTGTGTGTACCTCATGCTGTATCCCAGGAGAATCTTCACAAGCTGCAGCCAGTCCAGAACACGGTGACGAGGAATCTGGTTACCCCTTTCCCGCAACATCTGGACCAGCTGCCCAGTTTGCTCTGGACGGGATTCAGAGTGGGAGAGCGGATGGATCTCCGCCTCATGATCGGAGCGCCATCTGGCCATCGTTTAAAAAAACCCTCGCAAAGCAAACCCCACCTCCGTCCTTAATCACACGTACAGTGCCTGCTGAAAGAACTCTGCACATGCTTAGATCGCCACTGTCATTCCCCTGAAACGTTGCACTGAAAGCAAGTTTTGGGGTGGCTCAGGACCAGCGCTGAGGGACGAGGAAGACGAGGGCTGGCTGAGATTGGAGAAGGGGCTGCGGGAGCCGGGCATCTTTGCCTTCTGCAGGGAAATGGGCAGAGTGCTCTGCCCTCTTCCAGCACTTGATTTTCCTTAATTCTTGGACCCCGTCCCCCAGCTGTGCGACTTGCCGGCGTCGGCCCTGAATGACCACTGGCCCCAGCACACCTTCCGGGTTCTCTGGGCAGAGGGGCAGGTCCAGAAAGAGTGCGTCCTTTTCAAAGGTAATGTGGCCGCTCTCCATCCCTCGCTCCGCTTCTCTTTTGCTCTCCCCGTGGCTCCCTCACCCCCTCAAGCCGACTCCTGTCCCCTCTGCTCTCACAGGGCACCGGGATTGTTGGAGCCAAGATTCGGTCACCGAGGAGCAAGTGTTCAGGTGAGAAGGGGAAGGGACGGGCGGATGGGCGAGGCCAGTACAGCAAGGACTTCCAACGCAAGGAGACTCTTAAAAGAATCTGCCCCCATGGCAAATCCAACACGACACTGGCTACTTCTTTATTTCTTTCATGGTTATACCACCCAATAGCCGAGGCTCTCTGGCAGCTCGCTTAAACAACTTTTACAAATTTGTTGCTTTGTTGTTGTTAGTCGCAAAGTCATGTCCGACCCACTGCGACCTCATGGACAACATTCCTCCAGGCCTTCCTGCCCTCCACCATCCCCCAGGGTCCACTCAGGCTCACACCCACCACCCCAGTGACCCCATCCAGCCACCTCACCCTCTGCCATCCCCTCTCCTTTTGCCGTCAATCGTTCCCAGCATCAGGCTCTTCTCCAGGGAGTCCTTCCTTCTCATTAGGTGGCCAATAAGGTTCCCCAAATCTGCAGAGCTGATGGCAGTCTAGAAGCTCCGCTTGCATTTAGAAACTACCGCTTCAAGTCCATGCCTGAAATTCCCAGATGGTATTTTTCGGGCCATACTGTCAGTCATCCTCAGTTTCCCATCCGTGAAATGGGAATAACAGCAATTGACCATGCAGGGTTGTGAGGCTGAGCAATACAGAGACCACAGCGTCCTTGCAAATTAGCAGTGCTCCACATAAAAGATACTCAGTCATGGGGCCTCATGCTTCCAGGTAGCCCAAGCTAGGACTTGGGGTGCAGGCTGTGGAACGTGGCCTGCCCAGCACTGTCCCTGTTAGCCAGCCTCCATTTGGGTTATGGAGGCCTTCACGTGATCATGAGCTGTTGAGGTCTTGGGACTAGGGGCCAGGAAAACAGTAGATTGCTAAAAGCATCTTCCGTTTAAGCAAGTTTAAACTTCCTCAGTTCTGAGAACATCTCAGTGAAAGTGCATCCAGGAGCCACTTCCAGGCCTCCCTCCCGGCAGCTGAGGTCATCCCGTGCGTCTGAGGGTGGCCAAGGGCTGTGGCTTGCAACACGTTTCCTGGTAAGCCCAGCATGAGAAGCGGTGAGGACCACGAGGCCTGATTTCCTGTAAAACCAAATGAACATGAGACGGTGGGAGGGGAGGAAGTTTCCTAAGAACTAGTCCAGGACTCGTGTGATTCGTTCAGTTGCTTCACCCGAGTGAAAGGGCGCAGAGGAGGATCAGCCGGGTCATGCCGAGCGGCGCACTTGGTGATCTCCGTCACGAACCTCCGGCTTGCCCCGCTCGGGGTGGCACCCAGGCGCTCAGAAACAGGCTTGGGAAGGGCTTTGAATGCTGGTGTTGCGCCACCACTGAGGCCTCGTGGACGAGAATCTGGTGAGGACGGCGTGGCCCCGAGAACCTTAGCCCTGGATGGGTTCTGAGAGATGGGCCAGTCCAGCCCCCCCGCTGCTGCGTGCCCACACAGCATCCCTGATCCCTCCCCTTAAATACCTCCAGACCGGGAAAGCCGAGAGAAGCCGCTGCATCTCCCCTCTGCTCAGAGCATTCGGACGTTCCTGCGGGTGTTCTGCCAGGATCCGCTTCCTTGTCGTTTCCACACATGGGTCCTAATCTTGTCCCAGCAGCAGGAGCGGGCGAAAAGATTGCAGGTGGAGGCACGCATGCGACAATGCCCAAGCACACACCAAGTTCTCTGCTCATAGAAAGTTAGCTTGTCAGGGGAGAGGCCCTGACTTGGCTTCTTCGGACTGGCCGCCTCTGCCAAGGGTGTTTGCGAGAGAAAGTGAACTTCACTTGGCTGTCCAGATCTGGGTTTGTCACCAGATTTCTTGCTTGTGACAATTGGACCTAGCCCTAGCCTGAAGCCAGGAATTAAAATGCAAAACTGCGTTTCTCCGGAGTTTGTTAACTGCCCCAAACTTAGAAACATAGAAACAGAGCGAGTCAGAAGGGGTCTCCCGGGCCATCTAGTCTGACCCCCGGCACCAGCCGGCTCCACTCACAACATGCCCACCATGTGCATGTCTCTCGTCTGTCTTTCCCCTAGCGTGTGTTCAAGGTTGGCGGCTGGATGGTGCTTGTTGCTGTACTCGCGTTCTCTTCCAGGAGTTTGCCATTGCCTCTATTTATGTATTCATTTGGGTATTTTTATCCCATCCAATCCCATTGCGTGTCTCTGGACGGCTTCCAAATCAAACACCCAATAAATACATGTGGACCCCCAACAACCCTGCTTCTTCCTTCTCTTCCCCCTTCTGCCGCAGGTGTGAGCTATCCATCGAGAAGTCGGCCGTGCTCCAGTCCGAATTGGAATCCTGCAAAGAACTTCAGGCCCTGGAGCCCGAGAACAAGTGTAAGTCCCGGGGCTGGCACCCAGAGGAGGGGAGCGGGCGTGGGCCGGCATGCGGTGGCGGCGGGCTAGTGGAGCCAGGAGCCACCAGGTCGAGGCGCCAGGGTGTTCTGATGAGCAGGAGAGGTGGGCAGCACTGGCCTCGCATCCCTGCGCTCCGGCCATCCCTCTGAGCTCAGCTGCAACCCGTATAGTAACTGCAAAAATTGCTGTATAAAAGAGCTGCAGGAGAGATTCGTTCGTTCATTCCATCCATTCATTCCATCCATTTCATTCATTCATTTTCTATGCTGCCCAACAGCCAAAGCAATCTGGGCAGTTCACATCAGCCTATTTAATACACACGCACACCCCATTAAAATATATTAAACCATCATAAAGGTTAGCAATACAAAATTAAAATCCAAATAAAAACATTCCCACCCAGCGTGTCATCACAGCCTTAAGGACTAGGAACGTTACTGATCGTACCTGAGGCTGGGGTGATTGGCTTCGAAGTGCATGGGCTGAAGCTGGATCTGGGATCAAGTACAGGTGCGAGGGAGCTGAGGAACCTGGCTTTCCTTCCTGTGACTAATTGAAGCAGAATAGCTCATGCCAAGTAAGTTAGGGCAGGATACGGCTGAGGAACTAGCCGTACCCGGTCCTGGTCACAGAGCGCACCTTGGCCTGCGTGGAGGCTGGGGTGAGTCTGCCCCTTTTTGCTTCCTAGGGTGCCTTCTGACCATCATCCTCCTCATGAGAGCCTTAGACCCCCTGGTGTATGAACAAGGGACCCTGAGCTACTTTACGACACTGAAGGTAAGCTGGGAGGAGGCAGGCTGATGTCAGCCGTTTCCTGACATGGAAGACGTTGGGTGCCCCAGATCCTGAATTGCTTGCCGTGCAGATTCACTGGGCATGTCCCCATACAAAGGCGACCTGGTGGTAACAGTGCCTCTGAGCATGTGGAGAAAATGTGCTTGCTTCCTCAGTGGTCTTCCGCCGGTTCCCCCTTCACTCTCTCTTCAGAAAAACAAGACACTTGAATTGGGAGACCAGAACACTTCTGTGGACGTCGCATGCTTGATCGTAAACTGCTTAGCAAGGTTTCTGTGCTAAGCAGTGTACAAGTACCGACAAAGAGGCAGAGCTTGCGAGGAGCCTTTTCGCCAGCGCCTGCTGCTCTTTGCTTCCCATTCTCTGTCTCCGTTTCTCCCCGCGCCCCCACAGGCTGCCGACCCCATGCGCTCGGCCTACTTGGATGACCTGCGCAGCAAGTTCCTGATCGAGAACAGCATCCTCAAGATGGAGTATGCAGAGTCCCGGGTCGTGGACCTCTCCCAGCGGGTAGGGTGTTGAGGGCCCAGGATTTTGCACAGGGTCTGTGTCAGCAGAACTGGGGAACTACCCAGCAGGGCAGGGAAAAGTAGCCCAGGAAGCTTCAGCCGTGAGCCCAGCAGCTGGTCTAGTGGCTAATGGAAGCTAGATGGGCACCTATCCCTGCGATGAATACAGGCCCCCGGCAAATGTTTCCTGCCACCTTTTCCCCCAGGGCCTCACTTTGCTGTGCCACTTGGAACTCCTCCTGCTGGTCACACACATGAACCTGTCGGACAACCACCTCCGCACCTTACCCCCAACCCTGGCCATGATGCGCTGCCTGGAGGTAAGGGTGCCTTCCTCCCCACACACCCCTCTAATGGCTTCGCTCAGCCCTCCGCGCTCCGCTTTGCCTCCATGAGGGCTAGAAACTTGCATTCCAAGGATGATTTAAGAGCTCCCCGGTGTGAGCGCCAAAGGGACGAGCCTCCCTTTGCTCTTTGGACAACAATTCGACCTTGCGGAATCCCTCTGCCTCTTTGTCCTCCAGGGCACAGGGAGGGTTTGGTCAGCTTAGCCAGGGGGCTGCACAGGTGCTCCCAGCTCTCCTCTCTTCCTCCAGGTGCTGGAGGCTGACGACAACTGGATCGAAACCCTCGAAGGGCTCCCGCCTCTCCCTCGCCTGGAGGAGCTCTCCCTCTGCAACAACCGTATCCTTAAACTTGGCAAGGCTGGGGAGCTCCGCCTGTGGGGGGCAAAGCGGCTCCCTTTGGGGCCGGGAGCCACAGTCTGGCATTTCTCCTTAACGCCGCCACCCTCCTGCAGGCCTCCGGCAGCCCTCGGACCTCCTTGCGCTGGCCTCCTTCCCCAAACTCACTTCCCTCAACCTGCAAGGTAACCCGCTGTGCCAGGTCCCGGGGGTCCAGGCTGAGCTCGCGGCGCTGCTGCCAAACGTGGCCACCATCCTCACCTGATCGGCACATCAGGGACTCGCCCCCCCCTTCTCAAGACCTCCCCTCCCTGCTGCACCGACACCTTTAATTTATTGGCATGAGGAAATTAAACAGAACGTGGGCTGGCGTCTCGAGTCCTTTGTTCACTGCCGTCATCGGATCTGCACACACGAGCCGCCGTTTCCTGTTGGTGCTTCTCCCTGCACCAGAAAATAATTGGGCTGCAGATCTTGGTCCCCCTCCACACACACACACACAGACAGCCGAGTGTGAAAACAAGGCCTCTGTTTTATCCTCTGCTTACAACACACATTCCCCAAAGCGCTTGTGCCATTTCTGTGCTCGGTTCTGCAGGAGGAGACATTTTTGTGGCTCTCAGATCCTTTGCCTTATTTTCCTCACTGATTAATTCATAAAAGTAGTATCCATGCAAGCAAAAACCCAGCTCCCAAGCCCCTGCCCCAGTGAGCTTACAGTCTGAATTCAGCAGTGAAGGCAAGGTGATGGAAGGAAGAGAAACCAGAGTCAAGGGGATGAAAGTGTGTATGATTTTTATTAATATCAAAATTTCTTCAGCAGGTCTCAGCAAAGACTTATGGTGGATGGAGGAAATTTCCCCCTTCCATTTTTCCCATTACTGACAGTGAATTCTGAGTTTCTTTGCCTTGTAAAACCTCCCTTTTTCTCCACTTTATTACATTTTTACTGCATCCTTCCTCCCCTTCCTCTCATCCTCACAACAGCTTTGTGAGGATGTTACAGATTAAAAGTTTATTCATTTATTTACTTGCTCTGTTTCAGTGATACACAAGCTGACATTCTGGGGGCAAGGAGATCTCAATTTAAAATTGCAAAATCGATGAAAAAATTGCCCTTTAAAAACAGTACTATAGCACAATTAAAGAAGGAAACATAGAAGCAGAGCAGGTCAGAAGGGGTCTCCCGGGCCATCTAGTCTAACCCCCAGCTCCACTCACGACATGCCCACCAAGGAAAGCTGAGAAGCCAGCGTGGCACAGAGTGTGGACTCTCTTGGGACTCAGGAGACCCGGGTTCTAGTCTCCAGTGAGCCATGAAGCTCCCTGCATGACTTTGGGCCAGGCACTGACTCAGCCTGACCTACCTCGCAGGGTTGTTGTGAGGATAAAATGGGGAGGAGGAAACCCTGGAAAGCTGCCTCGGCTTGCTGGCAAGAGGATATTCATTCATTCATTTATTTTTTGACTTATATGCTGCCTTTTTCCTACAAAGGGCTCAAGGCAGCTTACACCATTCTCCTCCTCCATCCTATCCCCACAACAACAATCCTGTGAGGTAGGCTGGGCTGGGAGTCTGTGACTGGCCCAAAGTCGCCCAGTTGGCTCCATGGCTGAGCGGGGACTCGAACCCGGGTCGTCTGAGTCCCAGTCCCAGCTCTGAACCTCTACACCCTATGGGGGGCTACATGCAGTATAATTGTGTGGGTCTCCCCTCAGCAGCGATTGAAACAGCCCTACAATGTCTGAAGAGTTTAAACGACTCTTCTTACCCCAGATTCTCTTGCGGTTAACTCTGCAAGGACTGCTTGCCCGGGTGGCTGAAGCCAAAGTGGCAGGAAAAATCCTCGTCTGCCTAAGTGCACACTCCCCCCGACTTGTGTAGACACACGTCACGCGCTTTCAGAAGTATAACAGACCTCCTTCCAGAGGAGCATCTTATTGCTGCACCCCCAATCACCCCCGTCCCCCCAAAACACACGCACTCCTCAAGCATCCCTCACTTCTCCCACCCCTCCGGGGAACCCCGAACTTTCAGCATTTCCTGAAATGCTGGAGGATTGTGTGTGTGTTTATCATACGTACACCCCACCTTTTTTCCTTCGGGGGAACTCAAGGCAGCTCGCAAAATTCCCCTCCTCCTCTCAGACTTATCCCCACAACAACAACCCTGCGAGGTACGTTGGGCTGCCAGGGTGTGACTGGCCCAAAGTCACCCAGTGAGCCCCGCAGCTGAGCGGGGGGCTAGAACCCGGCTCGCCGGAGTCCCAGCCCTGTGCTCTTAACCGCTGTGCCACGCTGGCTCTCGGCACGTTCTTCCAAGACCTCTCCAACACCTGGGCACATCTGGAGGAGAAACTGTGTCCCAGAGGGCTGTGCTCCTTGCCTGGGACCCTATCCTGACCTTGCTTCTTAGCCAAGAGAGATGAGGGTCTCCTAGGGCAGTCTCCTCCAAAGCGACGCTTTCCAGAGGTCTCGGACTACAATCCCCCTCATCCTTGGCCACCAGGCATGCAGGCTGGGGCTGATTGGAGTTGTAGTCCAAAACATCTGCAAGAGACCGGGGGCAGGAAGGGCTTCTCTGGCGGCCAGTCCCTATTTCCGTAACTGGCATAGGGTTCCCAGTGGCTGGCTCTCCTTGCTCCCGAAACATTAGAATCCGGTTCACCTTCCCGGGCACGCCATGCGCATTTACACATAATTTGGGGCTGCTCCACCCATCGCTTCCTGTATCACGCAGCCTCCGCGCCCTGCGCCAAAGGGTTCTGCTCGGGCATGCGAGCACCCAGGAGGGAGCCGCGAGCACCGCCGCAGCCTCGGCGAGTTGGCCGCCGTTCCCACATTCCACAGGGACGGCAACTCAGGTCCCCGGTGGCAGCACCCAGATCCGTAAAATCATTTTCCTGCCTTATGCAACCATTCTGTTTTTCTCTCACGCCTGCCGGCAGCCCAGACACGCACACTCACAACAGCGCCCGAGCCCGGCGTTCTCGTCTCCCGAAGGGCGTTCACTCCGTGGCACCAAGAGCACATCCTGTCCTGCCTCTCCTGCATCAGCCTCAGGTTTCTCCTCTTCCCACAAACTCATATCAAAGCCAGGCTCTTTCATTGGTAGTCACTTAGCGAATCTCTACATGTGCCCATCACAGAACGGATAGGATTTGATTCCTAGCAGGACAGTCCTTTGGCTCCACCGCTCAAAACCGCCATCTTCCAAATTAATCAAGGCAAGCTTTAGTTGATTAATCTACTGATCAAAACACTCTGCCTGCCTCTTCAAGCATTCCTGCTCAGGTGCCACCCTTCCTGGAGCATTTCCTTGCCACCCGTGGTGCTTAAAGATCTTCGCCAGGAAACCAGACTAGGAAGCGTGGCAACCTATGAGAGGAAGGAAGGGTCATGTTTTGCTTTTGGGGGCTTTGCAGGCCACACAATACTAACCGTGCCTGTAGATAAATTTTGTTTTGGAGTGATCACTTAGGAGACAATTCTATGCATGTTTGGACAGGAACAAGCCCTACAATGTGCAGCATTTCTAAGCCAGCCATAGGATTCTGCTCATATCTGCAAGGCTGCCAAAAAAAAAAATAACATTTACCCATTATTCCCAATACATTGTAATGCTGCTCATCTTTATTTCTGGGTGGAAGTGGACATGGTTGCACAAGCCACTTGGTCTGAAACAGGGATATGCTGTGGATCATTCTCCCAGTTTGGACACATGGTCCTGTCATTTTTCAGGTTTTTCTCGGGACATTCCCCCCAGCGGAACCGAAAACAAAACCATGTCTGGAACCTGCTGACCCTGTGAAGGCACTTTTGCAATGTCAGACCTTCAGTCCCTGCTGGCTGCAATGGTCTCCTTTCAAGCAGCAGCTATTCTCCAAATCTTTGGCACTTCTGAATGCTCACACAGTCAGCTTTTTGGTTCAAAGGTGCAAAGCACATATTCCCCCCAGTAAAAGCTACAGCTGCTGAGCAGAGCTGTCTCTTGAACTGCGTTAGGGGTGTGCCCCATGCTTATTTAGCCAGGAAAGAAGGAAACGTGTAGGGTTGTCTCCTAAATACTAAAACCCCCCTGGGTCTCCGCCACCCTGCCTGGTATCCACACACAGTGCCTTCCTGACAGGTTAGGACTACAGGCCCCAATGTTCCACCCAGCCTGGCTGATTGGCATGCTGGGAGATGCAGTCCAGAACACTGGTCTCCACTGCAGTCTTTCCCACCCGCTGACCTTGGATGTGTAGGACCGCAACTTCCATCATCCACAGTCAGCATGGGCAATGATTGTGAAGCCTAAAAGAAAAGGCAATGGTTGCATAGAGCAGCAGAGCTAGGAGGGGCCAGGGGGCCGTCGGATCGAGCCCGCTGCTCAATGCCAGACTCCCACCGGGAGCAGAGAGTCCACCTCCTCCTTGGTCTGGGGTTCCACTGTCCCACTGCTCTAACAGTCAGGAAATTTTTCCTGATAGCTAGCCAGAATCTGTCTCCCTGGAACTTCAGCCCACTAGTCCTAGACTGAGAAGAGATCCTGGCCACCTTCTTCGTGACAGCCTTTCTAGGATTTGTTGAGTGCTCGTCTATCTCCCCTCCATCTTCTCTTCTCGAGGCTTGAACATGCCCAGTTCTTTCCATCTCTCCTTGTAGGGCTTCGTTTCCAGTCGCGGATCACCCTTGTCGCCCTCCTCTGAACCCTTTTCAGCTGATCTGCATCGTTCTTCAACTTTGGTGCCCAGAACTGGACTCCAGAGGAAGCCTAATCAGCGCTAAGCAAAGGGGAACTAGAATTTCGCAGGATTTGGAAGTGATACTTCTATTAATGCAGCCTAAAATAGCACTTGCCCTCTGTGCAGCCCCATCACACAGCTGACTCATAATTCAGCTTTCATCTACAACAGTTCCAGGATCCTCCTCAACTTGCGGAATTGTTGAGCCTGGCTTTCCCTTTCTTGTAAAGAAGCATTTGGTTTCTTTTTCCTGGGTGCAGAACTTGGCACTTGTCCTGACCGAATTTCATTCTTTTGTTTCCAGCCCAGCCCTCCAACCTACCCAGGTCACCTTGACTCTTCTCTCTGCCCTCCAGGGTATCAGCTTATCCCACCCAGTTGTGTGTCATCTGCAAATCTGGTAATCGTCCCTGTTCTTCCTCATCCAAGTCATTAATAAAAATGCTGAAGAGCCCTGGGCCCGGGAGTGAGCCCTGTGGTACCACAGATGAACACCTCTATGGAAGCACCAGATTTTATGGGCTAGAACCAACTTCTTCAGGCACACAGAGCAGGTTCCTATATCGGGGGGGGGGGGCAGCATGCACCCCCCGGCTTCTTTGATGCACCCCCCGCAGACACTGCGCTGTTACACAGCCGAAAT